GATTATAAAAATAATAAATCAATATTGAAGTACTAAGTTCTAACAGACCATTAACCCAATTTTCTACTGTCTATGCGTTTTCTTTCCAATAGTCTTTAAAACGTAATTTCCTTATCTAATTTATATATTTTCCATCAAAATTAATGGATTTTAAAAATGGTTCTAGTTAGGATATTTTATTTTATTATGGGTTTATTTCTATCGAAATATTTTTTCAGCCTATACAGGCATTCAACACAAAAACGAACTAAAAAACGAGCTCAGAAAAAATCTTTTGTGCATTCACTTAAAGGAAGATCCTCAAGTTCCATTTCTGATGGTTCTGATTCCAGAGTAACATGCTCTTGATCATTCCTTTGATGATTTTTGTTACGTTTTATATTGACAGATATAATGGTTAGCAACCATAACCATAACAAATAGTATTTTTTTTTAATTTTTCCTCTTTTTCCAATTTTTCTCGAAAAAGAAACAGGTTTTTCCGACATTTAATTTTTCCGAAAATTTTGGACCTGTATAAGAGAGAATAATTGTTTTCCTCCTCTTAAAATTTATCCTAGATTTTAAGTAGTGTTAATTTTTTTCTAATTTTTTCATTTTTTCTCGAAAAAGAAACAGGTTTTTCTGACACCTAATTTTTTCGAATATTTTGAACCTCTTGTAAGAAAGAATACATGTTTCTCCAATGTTTAAACATCCCATAGGATGGCTCGGCGATTTAAAATTTTTTTTTGTCAATTTTTCTGGAAAAACACCCATTCTTTCTAAATGTTTTCTACCTCTAGACGCAAGAGAAAAGAAGTTTTTTCCCCTAAGTTAGATGGACAGAATTACAATACGATTCAAAAAGACATTCATTATTAAAATTGGCGCATCCCAGTGTTTGTCGAATTTTTAAATGAAGAAATAGATTGTCAATTCTGAACAATAAAATTAAAAAACATCAAAATCGGATTCACCAAAATTAAGTTTATACTCATTAATATCTTAATTTGAATTTGAAGTATATACACTCGGCAAAAAATTAAAGGAGCAAAAAATTTCCAATTTTTTTAGTGATTTTTAACTTATTTTTTTTTCAAAATTTTGAATTTTTTTCTATATTTTCGATTACTACTTAACGCGAAATTGTGAGAAAAATAACAAAAAAAATTGTTTCATCTTAATCATTAATTATTGATGTTTTATATAAATTAATTTTATATAAATCTTTGATGATTCAGGAAAGGAAAACGATTTCATAGGCATGTATTGAGCTAAAACAAAACCTACAAACGTTGGTACTTTTCGCAATATATGCAAAGTAGTGGTTGATTTTCCAAAAACAGCAGAAAAACAAATTTTTTACACTTTCAAATTAATGCTGAGTATAAAAAGAATCTCAAACATAGTAAAAGGCTGTTGAAGAGGATTGATTCAGGTTTCTAATACGCTGTACGATCAGTAGTTCATGAGATATCGATGCTTAAAAAAAAAAAAGATGACTCGATGAGAAATAATCACAAAAAATTTCAAAATTTTTCTGCACCTTTAATTTTTTGCTGAGTTTATATAGGTATTTTTTTCACAAATCTAATTGAGACAAAATTAATTATTTCAAACCATTCATCCTGAAATATCTTTATACAACTTTCTTTTGTTTTTGTTAATTTGAGAAAATATTAAACTTTTCTAAATTCACGATAATAATATATATTTCAGACATCAAAAACGAAAAATAATTATAGTCGATTAGAAACTAAAAGTACTTTTCATTATTTTCTAGGCATTATGATTTTGGCAACTCCTTCAGGAATATTTGAAACCGAGTTTGAAACAATAATTTTTAAAATAGCACTCAAATAAATACCCCTTTTTAATACCATTAGGAGAATAAAAATATCTAACACTGAACAGTAGTGTTATATGTACGTGTTTTGTAGAGTCGATGTTGAAGTAATGTCACGCAAATATATTAGATTTCTTATAACATGCAGGTTTTTTTTTTCAGTTTAAAGTAATCATAATTATTCCTCGAGCAATTTATGATCTAGGTATATAAATATGCAAATATATCTACTTATCTTCATGTAAATTACTACTATCTAGCCATTACTGAAATTAGTATTTATAAAGTGGAGTATGTAATAATATAGCATTATGTTTTATATTTTAAAATACCAGTCCTGATAACACTATCATAAAAATGCTCGTAAAAATCTATTGTCATTGTTAAATTCATGCCCAAAGTCCATTTTTGCATGTCGTAAAAAAATGGAAAAAGTATGTTTTTCCAACAAGAGGTGACAATGCCTTTTTTGGTGACAGTCATATAAAATTTGATATTTAATTTTGTTCAAAATAAACTATAATACAGCAAATTATTAATTAATTTTTTTTTATCCAGCACTTGTTAATGAATGATACTATAATTTCTTTGGTTTTAAAGGATTAATGTAGCTTATAAGTCACTAGTGAGTTATAAGTCATAAGTCACTAGTAAGTTATGACATAACATAACCCACTAGTGACCCAGAAATCATAAAAAGACAAGTTTGGTTTATTTTTCTAGTTTTTAGAAAATCTATTTGAAACAGAAATAAGTCAACAAATAACCTAAAATGGTACAAACTTACAATCTACCTACTTATTAATATTAACATTAACATTTATGGTAAAGCCGTAATTTGAGGCCAAAGGGTTATTGGAATTATTTTGTGATTGTGGTAAATTTATACATAGAACAGGTTGCCTCTTTGCTTGTGCTTGCTTCAGGAGTCTGCACCCCTTTATCTTTTTAGCAATATCAATTTTGCTGGAAATTGACTTCTATATAACCTGCCACGGTAGATAACCGTGGCATTTGAGTGTTGTAATATGCCACCAGTGGGTGGCCAAATTATTAGGGACAGTACTCAATTTCTTATATTTTCTAGGTTGACTGAATTTTTTTAAACAAACAGTTGGTTCTATGGCTTGCAGCTATTTTTTATTCAAAAGAGTGGGAGAAACTATAAATTTTTTTCGTAAGAGCTATATATGTGCGTCAATGGAAATCTGCTAAAATTAATCGATGCATGCTCTATACAGACTTTATAATTCTGTTGGAGTTCGACGATGTGATGTCATTCTCTGATGAGAGTTTCAACCAGTTGGTGCTTGGTGGTGATCACCTCATTAGCAATCGCCCGTTTGGTGAGTTACCACATGTTCTCTATAGGGTTCATACCCAGTCAGGGCAAAATGGTAATGTTTTTTCGACCAGGAACGCACTAACACTCCTGGCTTTGTGGCTCGGTGCCCAATCGTGCATAAAAATGAACTGGGCATCACCAGGGAACCATTCTTCGATATGTAGCAGTAGACGGATTTGTACTCGCTTGTACGGATCCTGCCTCATGATCCCCTTCACGATGTATAGGCGTCTTATACCCTTTGCTGAAATCACATACCATACCATGACACCAACCGGGTATTTAACCATCACTGCAAGGCAGTCTGGATGGAATTGCTCTCTCCAAGACGTCGTCGGAGGAATGAAGTTTTGTAGACCAAAAATTTGAAACGCTGATTTGTCGGAAAATATTGAGATAATCACAAAAAAATCTTTATTAACACTATTTTAATTAGTTGTTCTCATTCGAATACAATCTGCAACAGTGATATCCTGGTGTTGTCGGGCCCATTGCAGCCGCATCTTCTTCATGACCTCCATATCAGAGGTGGCTTTTGGGTTGACAACGACCGATCAGGTTTTCTTCTGCCAATCACCTTCGGACTGTCATTTGGGAAATTATAATTCCTTCATTGTTTATTATAGTAATTCTATACGAAATATCAATAACGTTTTGATAATTTGTAATAGGAAAAACTCATGAAAAACGATTCAGAAATATTTTTTAGCATCTCACTGCAATAAAAATGTTTAACAAATTACCACCATATGGAGAGTAACCTCATTTATCTGATAAATGATGCAGAATATCAAGTTGCCACTCAACAAAAATATTAATAACAGTACCAGCTGCAATACAAAATAAAAAAATCTTGTCAAGACTTATTTATTTTTTCAAAAAAAGAAATTGAAATAGAAACTTCATAAATATGAGTACTGTCCCTAATAATTTGGCCACCCACTGTAAATTAGAATCTGTCAAGCCCAAAAATCGCGCAACAACATTAGGGATTTTTGATAGTTTATTAATACCAACACATTGACGTTTGCATTTTCCCTTTTGAAAATTGCAAAAGGACCTTTTATGCTGCACATTTTGAGGCCTTGGCTTAGTATATTTTCTAATTAATTCAATTGGACAAAATCCTTCATTTAACAGCGAAGCTTCTTGGTTTGTTCGTTTTAGTATTTGAAATCATGATGTGGATATGTCCTCTATATTGTCTATGCTTAGATGGGTCAATTCCTCGCAACGGCAAGCGCCAAAAACTCCTAATATCAACGTCGCCTAAAAACAACAAATTTAATAAATATAACTCAGTTAAACTATTCAGTAGAACCTACCTTATTCATAAGATGATCTTCGTCTAGGGCTTCACGCAAAAATTGACTTCAACATGGAATATTTAGTCCACAATGTGGATGGAGCTAATTTCTCACTTAAATTGAAAAAATAACCCAGCAATAAATCTTCATTTATGCCTTTCACCCCTTATTTGATTTTCCAATCTTGAAATTCCTCCAGTTCTTTGTTGTATATAGATTTTGATTTCTCCGGAATGATGCCTGCAGTAGCCGCATTAGCTTTTTCTAAAATTTCAGATGGAATTTCCACATTTTTCCATTTTTAAGTCACTACCGTAACACACTAGTACCATAAATAACTATTATTGTTTTTGTAAACTGAAAAATTTTTGTTTTCTATCATTTTATATTACAAATTTTTTATTCTCAATATATGTATATCCCACATAGTTTAAAAGATTAAGACTGAATTCATAATTTTACTATAATCTGCAAATATTAGTAATTTCGGTTGTCATTAAAGGGTTTTTGTTTGTTTCAGGGTTTTTCGGCCATAAGTAACGAATCAACAAGTAGATCTGACGCCCCAGGTCACTGCATATGGTACGGTGAATGCAACCAAATTGGCTCCCGGAAACAGAACTGTTTGTACAACGGTACTGCCTTACCTCTAACCGGCAAAGGCCCGAGTATTCTCAGTAAGTGGTGTCCCCACTTAAATGCCTCTGCTACCTGCTGCGATGAGCATCAGCTCAAATCCTTCGACACCAACATATTGATGGCTGGGAACTTCTTGAAAAGATGTCCTTCTTGTTTTTCTAACCTAGTGAGTCACCTGTGCCAGATGACTTGCTCGCCAGTACAGTCCGATTTCATAAACGTTAAGAAAACGGCTGTGAATGCTCAGACGAATAAAACTTACATTTCGGAGATTGATCTGTATATAATGGAGGACTATATGCAGGGTACCTACAATTCCTGCAGACAAGTTAGTGTGCCATCAACAGGACAGTTGGCACTGGACATCATGTGCGGACCATGGGGTGCTGATAAGTGCTCCGCGTTACGATGGTTTTCTTACATGGGTGATGCCTCGTCATATTTTGTGCCTTTCCAGATCAATTATTTTAACCAAACGAAGCCGGTGGTGAACGGCTTTAAACCTTTGAATGTTACAGTTACGCCTTGTAGTAAGCCATTAGATGTAAGTATTGTAATTGTAATATATTTTTGGATATACTAATGAAAACATAGTTACGAGTCATTTCTCAATTTAAATTTGCATATTAATTTTCTAAAGTGTTGTATGTTTATTGACACTGCGTCAATTTCAAGATTCATTTGGATCGATTCCAATTCTAATTTTGTAGTGAATATGATACTGCTGTTTTCGTTAGGTTTAAAAAGTTTGTTTAACTGAGACTTCTAAATTTAAGCGTAAGTTATTGCTTCCTGTCTACTTTTCGTGCAGTTGCTTGTTTTCGAAATAAGTAAAGTTGTGTTCATTCAAATTAAGAGTTTTTAATTAATTTTGTTTTTAAAATAAAAAAAAGTTCTCATCTGTACATCTGTATATAAATGTATTGCAAGTAATAATAAAATTATAACAGCGAATTATTTTGAGATTTGACACATTTCAAGACTGCGAAGTTGCTTTAATCAAGATTCAGTAATCAGGAAACTTTTGCTGCTGTTAGATTGATTTTTGTAGAGAAACTGCGATATCAAATTATCTTTTAGCACTGACATAAATCCTGTTTTATGGGTAAGTGTATACTAATTTGGCCTAATAAATTATTCAAGAAATTGTTACAATTCGGGGTATTTGTACCACCTTTTTTCATGCTAGAATAAATTGACTTATTTAATGGTCAAATTTACGACTCCCAAATTTTATAATAAAAATTTGTCTTGGAAAAACAATCGCTATACAGGGTGCCCCAGAGCTATCTTGACAGGCATTATCTCGGAAACTAGTCGAGATAGAAAGAAATGTTATATAGAAAAGGTTTTCTGCTTAAAAAGATGCGTTTAATCATTTTATTTTCAAATATACAAAGTGCCCCAAAAAGATGGTATATTGCGTAACTTCAATTTTTTAAATGGAATACCTTGTATATTTTTATGTTTTTGGGTTCTCCTTTTATTTCTGAACATAAACACATCTCTTTAAACAGAAGACCTTTTCTATATAACATTTCTTTCTATCTTGACTAGTTTCCGAGGTACCTATTGCCCATCAAGATAGCTCTGGGACCACCCTGTATACAGACTCGTAATGAATAGTCCAAGCAAGAATATGACCATATAGGAAATAAAGATTTTAAATGAGAAAGTTGTAGGTTTTAAAAAGTTTAGAAGTCTTCTCTTTTCTCTTCTATAACTCGTTTACATTTACGTTCCTATACTTGCTATTTACTGTAAGCATAGCCCACGGCAAGCCAAAAAAGTACATTTTTGAAAAATTAAAAAATATTAATTTATTTTTGGATATATATTGATTTTTTTGGAAAAAAGATGCTTTCGAAAATTGGCTGGATCTTTTCAACGGATAGCCTACTGTAACAGTTTTCGATTTACATTCTTCGTAAAGAGTTGTATTACCATGCTATTAAGAAATTTTGTGATTTTATTAATTTTAAAGAAAAAAATTACTAAAAAAATTGCACCTTTTTGACATGTTTTTTTCAAATATGTTACTATTTCAGTTTTTATTTTATGACAATGTTTATAGAAATAAATTGTTGACATTTTTTCACGAATTTAAAAAAAAATATTTTTTAATTTGTGCAATTTGTGTAATTTTTTGGGTCTTTTTTGATCCTTAAAATTAATAAAATCATAAAAAAATTTTAACAGCATGATGGTAATACAACTCTACGAAGAAAATAACCAAAAATCCACTGGGGCATCCACTGAGAAAATCTAGCTAATTTTACTATTTTTTTTTCAAAGAATCGATATATTTCTACTTTTTTTGGCTTGCCGCCGAGCTATGCTTGCAGTAAATAGCAAGTATGGCAACGTAAATGTAACTGATATAGACAGTAAGAGAAAAGAGAAGATTTTTAACTGTTTTTTTGCTATATCTCGAAATGTAATAAAGCAATTGATGCTTACAAAAAATCAGTCGATAGATCCTTCTAAACCCTACAACTTTCTCATTTAAAATTTTTCGATCGGAGCTATATTTTTTTAGTTATTTTAGAAAAACCGTCTTTTGTAACTGCGAATTTTTTTGGCCACGTTTCCTATTTGGTCATATTTTTTTCCAGGTAATAATTTCTGTAAGCACTTCCCTATAATGCTTGGACTAAAATAATTACAAGCCATATGACCAGTAACTTTGTTAAAAGCAGTATTTTAATTTCCTTCATGATGGCAATAAAATTTTGGTAAAATTGAAACACTAAGACCAAAATTACATTGAAATACAACATTCTGTTTCACAGGCTGGTAATTTTTCAAGAGATTTTATTCAACCAATCAGCGATCGCATTGCCTCAAGCTTAGGCTTGTAAACACTGTATTTATTACATGTGTTAATAACTCGGTCAATTTCTTGATCAGTTTTTTGTACAAAATTCGTAAATTTAATACTAGTTTAAATAAAAAATGTATAGTAATCATTTTTTATTCAGGAAAATTCTTCAGCCTGCAGTTGCGTAGACTGTGAGGCGAGTTGTCCGGTACCACCACCTCAACCGCCACCACCCCAACCTTTCCGGATTGCCGGGTGCGACGGATATGCCTTTGTCATGGTCGTGGTTTTCCTCGTAGGTTCCACAATGTTCCTATTGGTGGTGTTTATGTGCTCATCTTCTGCAAATGTTGGTAAGTCTTTTCTATTTTTTAGCTATATCCTTTTTCATTTCTTTTATTTTCATCCATTTCATTTACATGCAATTGTTTTCGTGTCCTGAAAAGACTGGTTTGTTTTGATGAAAGATTTTCCATTTGCCAAAATTATAGAGCTTAAAATTTGCTGTTTATTGAGATGTCACATGTAAAATAGATTAATTATTAAAATCAAAGTCTTGGTGACGAAGAAATATGTTTGCATTTTTTATGAAATCAGAAAAAATATTAATATGAGAATAATAAACATGAAGTGTTCCATCTCTTACTGATTATATCGTTTGGTAAATGATCTGAATTTCTAATTTGGTGGTTTGGAAACCAAACTAACAACTACCCATTAATTAACTTAACAAATCGAACCAGTTGTTGATTTTCAAGCATGTCCCCGTTACATTTTCGTTTGCTGGTGGAGGTTCTGCCTCGATATGCCATGTCATCTATCACAGAGCAGCTGAACTGAGTGGTTTTTTCACAGGAGATAATGCTTACAACTTTGAGCGAGAAATATTTGACGCAGAATTAGAACCGGAGGAGCGCCAAGGTACAATAAATGAGGAGCTTTTAATGTTTTTGTGTTCCATTTGTTTTACAGTGTTATGTCCAGGGCTTTTTGCTGATATTGGTGCAAACAGATTTGTTAGTTAGAACTGCTGTAAAATCCTAATCAGCTTTATAAAGCAATCCTTGTCCCGAGCAATCCCAAATCGGAAACGTACTTTCAGTTTGTTCATTGTAGTTCTATCATTTCGAGACACGGCGCATATCCTTTTCTTCGATAGACGTTCGCTTGCAAAATGGAAGCCACATCTATTCATAATGAAAATAAATCTTAATCTTTTTTTTCCATTGTCTTGGAAAATAAATTCTATTCAAGTTAGAATTATAATGTTGCGATTTTACAGCAATTTATATTGAGAATGCATTAAGTGGTCATTTTTTTGTTCACATTTTTTTGTTTTGTTTTTTATATACAGGCTGTTACAAATTCGCTTTTCAGTAGGTTCTCGGAAACGGTAAGAGAGTAGCTTTAAGGTGGTCATATCTCTGGCCAAGAAATAGTCAAATTTCTGGCGTTTTTAGGTACTGAAATCTTGAAAAGATGTAGAACAAAAGTAAGCACAAAAATAAAATCCTTGATGTTATGTTTATCCATTGTTACTATTTAAATTAACTCAAATAAAATAATAACTTAAAAGAAAGCATTTGTAAAACATGTGTTTGCTGTTATCCTAATCCCACATTTTAAGAATAATTTTTATGTACTTAATAAATAAAAGTAAACAATTTTATATGTAGGATTAAGCTGGTAGATGAATTTTTCGAGACAAAACGTCTGAATCTGATTCGGGCTGAGGCAATACAGTGTTGGGGGCGATGAAGGCTTGCAAAAAAGTAATAAAATATCCAGGGTCGTATTAAAAAAATGAAGTTGATGGTGGTCCTGGAGAGATGAAATGTTACATATAAAAATTGATTATGATATTCGATAAAGGGCAAAAAGTGTTCTTCTTTTTTCAATACCACCTCAAACAAAGCTGAAATGAAACAAAAATGGATTTCCAAAATTTCGTTTTTTTTTTTTCAAATATTTCGAAAACTAATCATGTTAGCCTTGATTTTTTAGAGGCATTATGTTAGTTCCCTGATTATGCAACTTTGCCCCCAATTAAGCTACTTCGTATCTCTTACCGTTTTTGAGATCCCTGTAGTGAGAAGCGAATTTGTAACAGCCTGTATACTTAACCTTAAAATTAATCACCACTAAAAATGGGCCCCAATTTCAATGTTGACTTTTTTGGCTGATTTTACACGACCTTTTTATTTTCAATCCTAGGTTTATTTTTTAGATACAATGCTAAGGTAGAAACAAACACCCTGTAGTACCCTACAGGGTACTGACATACCGTCAGTTTAAATAGTGAGCATATACAGGGTGGTCGCGACGTAATGGGCCAAAATTCATGGGAAGATTCCCCAAGTAAAAATATTGCAATTTAGCCAAACTTACCTTAGTCCAAAAGTTGATAGTTAAAGAGATACAGGGTGTTAAATGTAAAATATTATTTCAGTTTTTTTAATTTATTCCTTAACAAATGCAAATATCCTCACAAAATTTTGGGGATTGGAGTTCGTTGAGTAGAGGAATTGAAATCTGTTCACATTTTGGTTAAAGTTCATAGAGGGCGCTAGCTGCAGTAGATTGAATGTGTTAAAAACGACATAACTTTTTTGTGCTTTAAGGTATCTCATCTTTGGTTACAAATTCTTATTTTCCAACTATTTTTACACAAAAAAGGTAGACTTTATGAAAGTAGCTGTCTCGCACCGTTTCCGAGATATTTGGCTTTGAAACTTCCAATGCTAATAGTTGAAATAATTAAAATAATTTAGAAATGTCAAAAACAAGGGTTTATTTAGAATTAAAAATTGTAATGAACAGTAAAATAGTAAACATTAGTAAAAAAATATGCCTTTTTGACAATAATTGCTTAAAATATCCACCTCTAACTTCAATACATTTATCAACACGTTTATTAAAAGATTGTCTTATTTTAAAGTATAAATCCTTAATGCGAAATGACTTTGCAGCATTTAAAACCTGCTACTAAAGTTCTTCTCAAGTGTTTATAGTTTCTCCATAAACAACTGATTTCATGTAACTCCAAAAACGAAAACCTCGGCATTCTATCTCACATTTATGTATACGAGTATACAATTTAATTTGTAAGCTAAGATGTAATTTTAATTAGATACGAATAATACTTAATAGAAATTAGCATACAAATGACAGCAATAAGACAAGTGGAAGACGTCAATTATTTGATTTTCGTCCAAATCCTACTTAAGAAACTTTACCGCTAAATTAATAATACCTGTAGGTACTTAATTGTAATTTAATGCAACAGCATTGGAAGTTTCAAAGCCAAATATCTCGAAAACGGTGCGAGATAGCTACTTTAATAAAGTATACCTTTTTTGTGTAAAAAAAGTTGAAAAATAAGAATTTGTTACCAAAGATGAGATACCTTAAAGTACAAAAAAGTTATGTCGTTTTTAACACATTCAATCTACTGCAGCTAGCGCCCTCTATGAACTTTAACCAAAATGTGAACAGATTTCAATTCCTCTACTCAACGAACTCCAATCCCCAAAATTTTGTGAGGATATTTGCATTTGTTAAGGAATAAATTAAAAAAAACTGAAATAATATTTTACATTTAACACCCTGTATCTCTTTAACTATCAACTTTTGGACTAAGGTAAGTTCGGCTATTCGCAATATTTTTACTTGGGGAATCTACCCATGAATTTTGGCCCATTACGTCGCGACCACCCTGTATATGAATCAAACTGTAGTTCTATCTTTCCTGAACAATTGCAGTTTTAATTCACATCATTATCTCTGTTATTAATGAGATGCACAGTTTATTATAAAATACAACTTAAGACGTAATAGAGATAATAATAAAAAAAAATCAATGACGATATGGGTAAAACAACTTAGAAACCATCAGTGTTTACTTCTTTCGTTTGACAATACTGAAAAAACATTCAGAAAAAAATGGAAAGACATTGATCCAGAAAAAATCCGTATCAAGTTTCGAGCCATCTGCAATTTTTTCCTGATTAGAAGTATTGATTGATATTTCTTGTTATTGATCTTTTTCTATTATTACTGTTTGTTATGGGTGTTATCTTGAGATATATAAGGTGTCAAATGATGGCAAAGTTGCCGAAGAAAAACTGGACCTGTCTGCTTCTCGATTTGAAGTAACCGAGAAAAAACGGAGTGACATAGCCTTCATTTCAATTAATCAGTGTTTCAAACATACCTCTTCTAAAAATCGCATTTTTAATTACCTAAACTTTTGACATTGTCAGTGAATACGTCAAAATCTTTGCAAAAGTAGATAATTTGGTATTTTGACAAAAAGTAAATAAAATACATAAAAACCATTTGTTTCTCTATCCTAGAAGGCACGGGAACCTCAAAATAAAAAAGATAGGTTAAATATTTCTTTGGCAAGTTATTCATCATCAAATTACCTTGTATGCCTTACAATAACTGAAACCCAAATGGTGTGGCTCGAAAAACGAGAAAAATAAATTGTCAAAATTAAATTGGGTATCTGCAAGTAAATGAACTTTGAAATTGGGACCCATTTTTAGTTGTACCTTAATTTTGATATGAAGTGTATTTTTGTTTATAGTGTCGTAATTTAATGTATATTTAAAAAAAATGCAAGCTAACACGTTTCTTACTTTTTTATTTAGTTGTACTAAATTGGGATGTAATTGTGTAACAATAATTATTAATAATTTAACAATGTTTCTGCCAATCTCGTGAATTGGTTTAACAGCATAAAACATTATTTCTTTTACATTGTTAATATGTTCCTCATCACACAGTAATATGTTTTTGTGTAGTTGTTTCTGTTCTGTGTTCTTCATTACAACAATCATTTTTAAACGATAATTCTTAATTTCTGTACTTAAATACGTGGTATACTGATTTTGTTTGATTATTCTGTTGACATGGAAAGTTTTCCATTTAAGGTTTTTATCATAGCAGTTATCTCCTGTATTTAAGTATATCTGTACATATTTTTTGGGAAATATTTGCATAAGAATTTCTAACGCTCGTAATTTCAATTANCGTGGTATACTGATTTTGTTTGATTATTCTGTTGACATGGAAAGTTTTCCATTTAAGGTTTTTATCATAGCAGTTATCTCCTGTATTTAAGTATATCTGTACATATTTTTTGGGAAATATTTGCATAAGAATTTCTAACGCTCGTAATTTCAATTAATTTTTATAGAGATCTCAACATTCCATCGTATAGTTGTGGACAAAAGATGGTATCCACCTAAGAAGTTTAAAGAACATAAATACGAGTATTAAAACCCTAATCAATTTAGGCAAACTTTTCACTGTCCACAACAACTGTACATGGAACTATCACAGATGATTCACAGATGATTGACGGGAAAAAAGATGATTTAAAGTTGCATCCTTGCCAGCTAGGCGCGACAAAATTGGCAAAAAATTTTGCCAATATTTCCCCAAATAACTCCAACATTTTACCCGATTTAAATGAAAATTGTATGCTGAATAAATTAGTGATGTAACGAATATATTCACATTTGCATTTGCAATATTCACGTGAATATTTTGGAAATATGAATATCAGAAAAAAATCATATTATTTTTTTTTATGTTAAAGTAATAAATAAGACAAAAATTATTAATTTTTTAATATTTTTGATAGAAAAGTTTTTCTTACTAATTTTTTTAAAAATAACACAATTTTTTCACTAAGGTGACCTTGCAATTATATCTTTTATCAGCATTTACTTTAACATTAGGTACTAAAATTGACTATTCGCTTTTGCATTCACGAATATCGGCGACAGATATTCGCATTCACGAATGCCCAAAAATTGGCATTCGTTACATCACTAGTATAGATGTCATTTTGTGGCAAAATACATCCCCTCTTAAGCAAATATGTTCATAATTTTTTTGCAACTGGCTTTGGTACTTATCTTTTTTTATTACTCGGATAACAACATTATTCAAGTTCTTTCACTCTTGCAAATTTGTGTATTTCTAAGAATATGCAAATATTAATACATTAAATGTGAAAATAATATTAAATAAGAAAAACATATTAATTCCTTGGCATTTTTAATAGAAAAGTTTTTTCTTACACATTTTTTTCTCTTTCACTAAGGTAACCTTGCATTATATCTTTTATCAGCATTTACTTTAACATTAGATACTAAAACTGACCATTCGCTTTTGCATTCACGAATATCGGCGACAGATATTTGCATTCACGAATGCCCAAAAATTAGCATTCGTTACATCACCAGTATAGATGTCATTTTGTGGCAAAATACATCCCCTCTTAAGCAAATATGTTCATAATTTTTTTGCAACTGGCTTTGGTACTTATCTTTTTTTATTACTCGGATAACAACATTATTCAAGTTCTTTCACTCTTGCAAATTTGTATATTTCTAAGAATATGCAAATATTAATACATTAAATGTGAAAATACATGGTAGCTTCTTTTTGATCACTGCTTTTTCTTGAAATTTATTTATTTTTTTATTTATTTCACTACATATCCAGGCAAATGCCCAGTTACAGGATACAAAGTCAATGCAGTAATACAACACACAACGTATTCGAAAATACTGATCAAATAAAAAATTATTAAAAAGAGAGAAAGAACTTAAAATAACTGTAGTGTTTAACTAATGATATTGTGGGATATAACTACTCTGCTGACTAAAGCCCCGTCCAGCATTCAACAACACCACACAATATAGTAAACAGTTAAGATCTCGAAAGAATTAAAGTTGTAACTGATACACAAGTACTTCATTTAAATCGGACAACACATTTTGGAGTTATTTGGAAACAAAAATTGTTTACATCTTTAATGCCCTCAAGTGACTAAAGGAACTACTTTGAATTTATTTTCACGGAATATGGGTTCTCGTCTTCAGTGATAAATTATGAATATTATTAATATGTATCAACACAAATTTAACAAAATTACAAAAGCTGTTTATGAAATTTTGACCTATTAAATACAAGGACTGTGAATTAATTTTGAGGGATTTTTTTGTAAATTCAAGGCTTTCTTGTGAACAATTGTGTACATTATTATATTTCAAAGTATTGTCCATTTTTAGCCCCTACTTTTTCCCATCTTTCTGGCAGCATATGCATTTCACGTCGAAAGAACAACTCATCTTTTGAGGCTATCCATCAATCGATCCATTTTTCATATTTTTGTAAGATTGGAAACGATGGATCGGAACAAGATCTAGACCAATATCTGGTGAATATGGGGGGTGGGATAAAACATCCCATTTCAGCGTTTCAAGTAATTTTTTGACATTACCATGCCTTTGTTTGAATTGTTGTCATTTTTCCTTCAATGCACAACTCAAAAGCATCAATTGTATTCGGTAGCGCTCACCAGTGATATTTTTATTCGGTTGAAGCAGCTCGTAGTACACAACACCAAGCTGGTTCCACCAAATACAGAGCAAAAACTTCGAACTATGAATATTCGGTCTTCCCGTCAATGTTGACGCATGACAGGCAATACCCATGATTTTCTACGCTTAGGATTTTCACAGCATATCCATTTTTCATCGCCAGCGGCGATACAATGCAAAAAAACCTTTTCTATTTCGCCATTGAAGCATTTATTTACACCTGAATAATTGCCATTCAATATCTCTCGGCTTCAATTGGTATGGCATCCAATTACCATGCTTTTCACGATACGATGTGAATCGTACCAAGTGCATTTAAACGTTTGGAAACTGTTGTTCCACCAACATATAACAATTCAGCAAGTTCATCTTGCGTTTGACATGAATCTTGGTTGAGTAATGCTTCCTATTCCTTATCTTCGAACTTTTTCGGTGCGTTTCTAAAATATCATACCTTTTTATTTATAGAGTATGTTTACCATAAGCTTCCAACAGCACTAGATTACTTTCAACGGCATTTTTCTTTGAATTAAACTGGAAAAGTAACACTTCCCGCAAATGGTATTTTGTTGGGTTGTTATTCGACATCTTCAGAGATAAAAAGTAAAACTTAATGACAGAGCTTTGACCTGAATATAGTTACTGAATTGTCCAACGCGATATAGCTGCGCCATTTATTATAAATCCCTCAAAATTAATTCACTGTCCTACTAGTTACTGTGAGCATAGAAGTTCTTGCAAAGATTTTTTGTGGATATATGGTGGAATGTTCGGGTTATGGTTGGTTACAGTGGGTTTGGTGACCGGGCACAGATCTGAGGAGTTGAGGGCGGTAGTTGCCCGTAGGTTGGCCGCCAGTGAACGTCATTCCTCCCAGGTGGCTTTAGGAGATGGAGAGGATAGTCCGCTTCAATCGTCGAAGAGATCTAGTACGTTTATTGACATTTTTCTTGGCTCATCAAAAAAAAATTGCTAATTCGGTCCATTGGTAGTTAATACTAGAGCATGAAACTCGCAAAATTAATCTTCAAAGTTTACATTTGGGCAACTAAGACAAACACTTTCAGGGATAATTTTCAATGTACCGATTACAAATTTTCTATTATTGCATCTTTTTTTATTTACGGTATTATATAAAAGAAATTTCTGAAACTAGTGCATGTGCTAGATGCTGAAAGTTCAAGGACAGCATTCATGGGAGAACTGTAATTATGTAGTGCACTTCTTTATTGAATATTTTTCATTTACCATTGACTTTTTGATGGTCTAGTAATTTTCATGTGCAGTCGATATCGACAAAACACTTGAAGTATCATCAATCTACTATGCATGCATGATATTGGGGTGCTTTGGGTAGTAGTTTAAATTTTAAAGCACGCAGAGTGACTAACAGTTACTTACAATTTTTTTCTTTTTTTTTATGGTAAGTACAGTTTAAAATTTAGAGTAGGAGGAAATAACGAATTTACAGATTTATCTTTTAGTATTAGTTGACCTAAGCTTCTCATTTGCTTGAAATATCAGGTAATGTAATTCATATTATATTGTACAGAATGAGTCAGTTTCAATGGGATTTCTCAGAATACCAAATTAAAAAAGAAATTAATAACTATTTCTCAAGTTCGATATTTAAAAGAAATTCTACAGCCAAATGATAAATTTGACGACTAATTTGTTCTCAAGGAAGGATTGATATTCATTTCTGTGACATTTTCTGCGTATTGATGATATTAGTTTTAATAGATAACATAGTCACAAACAGGTTTAATTTTTTTTTAATGGAAACCATACTATGGCTATGGCCTAGAAATGTTTTTTTTTTCTAGTAATATGTTTACATTATTTCAACAAATATGAGAAATATGGAAAATACAGTGTTTTATATTAAAATTAATTGTATCGGGTGTCCCAAAATTCACGCAAGATTTGATTATTGCACCATTTGTACGTTAAAGTGTTATCAATGGAAAAAAAAGACAGTGTGACAACTGATAGATTATTAAAAATGACACGCCGAGCAATTTAAAAAATAGTGAAGGTTTGGATTGATAGCTTCGTTATTCGACAAAATTGTCGCATTTCGGGTTCAGATATCTGAGAATGATCATTGAGAAACAAATGTATTCACAATGTGTCACTGTTTGGTGCGGATTGTGGGCTGTTGGCATCATCGGAGCATTCTTCCTTAAAAATGCGGCTGATCGGGCAAAAACAGTTAATGGTCTCGCTATCGAGACATGATAATCCAGTTTTTTGTTCCTAAATTGCAAGATAATGATGTAGACGACATGTGGTTTCAACAAGACGGTGCCAATGCCATACAACCGAGAAACAATATTTTTTTTTATTTCCCATATTTGTAGAAATAATGACATTAGATATTATTTGAAAGCAGAAAAATTCAGCCAATAACAAATCGTATTAAAAGAAAGTAGTTATACTTATTGGCCCTATAGCCATGAAGTTTATTTTTAATTTCTCTTAAACTCATAACGTAACAACACATGGTTGTCAAAAATCTGAAGAAAATTATGTCCAATCATACGAACAAATAAAATTTCTGATTGCAATTTTTTTTATCTTTAAAATTTCTGAGGTAAGGTACTTAAGATCCCTTCGAATGACTCCCTCTGTACAAATGTACACAAAATACCTTCAACATTTTCTATTTAACAAATTACCTTTCGACATACCAATTTTATCAATATTGTTGACCTTGTTCTTTTGTTACTAGTAATATTAGTTTACTTTGTCGGATTATTGATTGTTTTTTAGCCTTATCACCATGGATACTACTTAGCAAATATTATTACAACGCTAACTGGCGTAACAAATAATTGAAAATGTTCAGAAATATAAAAACCTGGCACAGAGTTAAAATCAGTTGTACGTTAAATTTAATTTATTTACACCTGGATATTTACTGCAGTTATAATAGTTAAAAAAATATATCTGCTTTCTGACGTAATTGATTTTCAGTCCGACTTCTATGTCATTCCAAAAATCAGAATACTAAAAGGTTTTTGTTGTATGTTTGTTTTCCAGTAGCATTTTTATAAATATGAATATTTAACGTAAAAAAGTGTCTAATATTACTAAAAATTATGCTGAATAATTATTTTCTCGCACACTGTATTGTTTAACAAAATATCTGTAAAAAAACTTTTCTTAAATAGGTATAACGTCTGAGATTGGTCATGAGATGGACACACATTCCGTCAACAAGGCGACGAATGACTATGACCATCCGTCATCATTCATTGAAAAATTGGGTGCAAACACCGATACTTATCTTCAGAAAATCTTCGAATGGTGGGGAACTTACTGTGCAGAAAGACCGTGGCTTATATTATTCTTAGGTCTGTGCGTCTTTGTCGGTTTAGGACATGGGATAAAATATTTGAACGTAAGTTAACAGATTCTAGTTCGACGGAATGAGAAAATATATATATTTTTTTATTTAGATTACAACAGATCCCGTCGAGCTATGGGCCGCGCCATCATCTCGCAGCCGCGTTGAGAAAGATTACTACGACAGTCATTTCGAACCATTTTATAGAAACGAGCAGATTATAATAAAGGCCGTAAATCTTGACAAAATTCGCCATAATACGTCAAAAGGCATCGTCACTTTCGGACCGGCTTTCAATAATACTTTTCTAAAAGCCGTGTTTGCATTGCAAGAAAAAATCAAGGCCATCGGGCGCAATACGCCATACAGTTACGATAAAATATGTTTTGCGCCTCTGAGAAGTGAGGATGACACTGAAACTAATGTCGAAGAGTGCGTGGTCCAAAGTATCTGGGGCTACTATCAAGACAACATGGACACCTTCAATAGTACTGGGCTAGATCCAGCCAATTTCACAACCAATTACTTGGACCACTTTTTGACGTGTGCAGGGTAAGTTGACTTTATAGTTTGATATTTAATTATAGAATTATGCAGGGTGTAACATTGACTAGGTGTCATATTCATACAGAGATTAAAGAGTGACCGCAAAATCCGCCTGTTTTTGAGACCTTGACAGAGGCGACAGGAAAAATCCTAAAAATATCCAAAAACTCGTCATGAAAAATGAAAATGAGCATCACTTTCAGTTTTTCGAAAATTATCCTTATTTAGGGGTTGAAAAGACAAAACCGTTAATAACCCACAATCACTAGATCCGAAGGAAAATACCCATAAGTTCAACCGTATACGTATAAAAGAAAAAGAAAAAAAATTGTAACTTTTAATATATTTTTTGCATTTTTAGGCGTTTAGGGGATGATTTCACCCTTTAGGGATATTATGGGCTGATTTTCAATCCGGACAAGATCGTATCAAATACGAAATTAGATATTTTCACGTTCGTAATATTATTTTGATAACAACATAGAAATATTTGGGGTTTTACAACTGTTGATTAATTTGTTCACTTTTTTTTGTCTTTTCAACCCCTAAATTAAATTTACTTATTGAAAAACCTAAAAATATTGGGGTGATGATCACATTAATATAACAATGACAGACTGTGGCCTTTGTGGGGAGGACTTCAATGTTGAGCATTTGTGGAGCTGTGATCAGTGTGAGGCAAAGATATGTACAGAGTGTTCAAGATTGACTGCATCAGAAATTAAATGCATGAAGTTAATAAAAGGAAGAATTTTGAAGTTCTATTGTAAAAATTGCTTGGAAGATGAACCAAAAAAAAGAAATAATAGAGGAAATCAAGAAGCTCAATACAGTGGTGAAGAAGCAAACAAGTAGGATAGAAATTCTCACTGAAGAACTACTGATGCTGACAAAAAAATTTGAGAAATTAGAAGAAAAAAGTACAAAACAGAGTAATGTTATAGAATCAGCAGTGATAGAAATAAAAAGTAATGTAAACACAAAACCATTATACTCCCAGACAGTAACAGGCAATAAAGTAAATGGGAAAAATACTTCTAATAGCAAAGACCCAGTTTTAATTGTCAAACCAAAGGAAGTACAAAGTAGTGATAAAACAAAAAAAGAGATTAAGGAGAAGATTGATCCAAGTAGATTAGGTGCTGGAGTTGCTGGATTGAGGGAAGCGCATCGGGGTCAAGTGGTAATAAGATGTGGGAATGAAGAAGCTCGAGAGAAAATTCAGAATAAAATATGTGAGGAAATGTCAGGGGATTATGATATTAGAAAACCAAATTTGAAATATCCAAGAATTAAAATTATTGGAGTAAATGAGGAAGACGATGACACAGATGACAATCTCTTGAATGCAATAAAAGATCAAAATTTAACAGAACATGGATCAGAAGAAGGATTTCATTTGAAAATAATAAAAAGGATAAAAAAAGCAAATAGAGAAATTACATTAATACTAGAAGCTGACTCAAAGACACATAATATACTGTTAAACAAGGGCAAAATTTTTATAGGATGGTCGAGAGGCAAAGCTTATGATTATGTTCATGTTGTTAGATGTTTTAAGTGTTTAGGCTTCAACCATATGGCCAAGGACTGTAAAAATAACAATATATGTTATAAATGTTCATTGGAACATACAGGAGAATGTAAAGACAGATATAATAAGTGCATAAACTGTAGCAATGCAATTGAAAAGTATAAAATAAAGATAAAAGATAATCATAATGCATTAGATCCAAAATGTCCTTGCTATATAAGAATATTAAACAGCATCAAAAGGAAAATTGATTATTTGGATGATCAATAGCAATTAGCAAATTTCAAAGATAGAATACATCATCGTAAACATCAATGTTTAACCTTGAACACACAAGGCTTTCTACATAATAAAGAGGAAATAGAACTACTTATACATACTTTACAACCAAATGTAGTTTGTTTAACAGAGACTCACGTTACAAATGATATACAGATATCTGAAATTGAAATAGATGGTTATAAACCAGAAATTTGTTACTCCAAAAGCACACACACAGGAGGAGTTATATTATATATTAAAAATGAAATGTCCTTCTACAATATAAAAAATTTTACAGTCGAACACAATCTTTGGTGTGTGGGAGTGCAAGTGCAAATAAATACGGACAATTATAATATAATAGGGATATATCATTCGCCAAGTGCAAGTACAGCGGATTTTTTGAACAATTTGGAGAGTCTGATAGAAGAATACAGCTCTAGTAATATAGACAGTATTATAACAGGAGACTTTAACATAGATATGTTGAGGGACACATGTTATTCAACACAGTTATCGAGAATTATTATGGAAAATGGATTTATACAGTTAGTAGGGGAACCAACTAGAATTACACAGAACACTGCAACTTTGATTGATCTGCTAATAACTAATTGTGATACTATAACACATAAAGTGCATCATACACCAAAGATAACGGATCATGCTTACATAACCATACATTTTCCAGTAAAGAGTAATAATAACACATATCGTATAAAGAAATGTTACAGAAGTTTTAAAAACTATAACAAGGATGCCCTACAAGAAATTTTAATTAATACTGAGTGGAACAATGACAGTGCAAACATTAATGTGTTGGCGGAAAATTTAATTAACTGCATTAAAAATAGTCTTAATAATGTTTGTCCCATAAAGGAAATTGTAGTTCCAATCAAATATGCAAATAAAATGTGGATTACAGAAGAAATTTTAGTGGCTATGAAAGAACGAGATAGACAATATGAAGCAGCTAGAATTACAGGAAGAGAAGAGGAATGGAATTCATTCAAAGAAAAACGGAATAAGGTAGTTACAATGATAAGAAAAGAGAAAAAACAGTATTATGAAAACAAAATAGACCATTGTAAAGGTGATTCGAAATTGATGTGGAAAACATTGAAACAAATGAATAAAGGGAAAAAGCATGTTTCTAAATGTATTAAATTTAATGAACAAGAAGTATCGGATGAATTGGAGATTGCAGAAAAATTTAATGACTATTTTATAGAGAGTGTGGTAGAGATTATTCATGATATACCAAAATTTGATTTGTACACAAGTCATGACTTTGGAGTTGATTGTAGATTACGCGAATTTAAAGTCATAGAAATGAATGCATTGAGAAAAGTTATTGATGCATTACCAAATAAATCAGGATGTGATGGGATTCCCACAAATGTTATTAAAGACACATTTGAAATCATCGGCAACAGGTTTTTGGATGTGGTTAATTGTTCTCTTCAGTCGGGCGTTTTTCCAGATGCATGGACTAATTCATTTGTTACACCTATACCAAAAGTTATTAATACTATTTTATGTGACCAATATCGACCAATCAATTCATTGCCAGTTTGTGAAAAAGTATTGGAATTGGTAGTTAAAGAACAATTAATAAATTACATACAAAATAATAATATCATCATATCAGTACAATCAGGATTCCGAGGAGCGCATTCATGTGAAACTGCATTACAGTGTATTTTGGACGACTGGGTACGGGGAATTGATAATGATACTATAGTAGTGGCTGTATTTCTAGACTTTAAACGTGCATTCGAAACCATTGATCGAGGTCTTCTTCTCTCGAAGTTACGAAGTATTGGAATTGGAGGAAATGTTTTGCAGTGGTTTTCATCTTACATAACAAAAAGAGGACAAAAAACAAAATATGGTGAGAGAGTATCTGGAAGAAAGGAAACTAAATATGGCGTACCTCAAGGCTCAGTATTGGGTCCTATATTATTTATTATTTTTATCAATGACATTCTCTGTTGTTTAACTGATTGCAAAATACATCTGTTTGCAGATGACACAATGCTTTATATGTTTGGTAAAAATGTTAATGATATTATAAGAAATATTAACGGGGAACTAAATAATTTATATGCATGGCTTTGTGACAATAATTTGAAAGTAAATATTGATAAATGTAAGTGGTTAGTATTAGGCAAAAAACATACATTGAATAAAATTTCGATAGAGGATTATATTAAATTAAATAACGAGAAACTAGAAAGAGTCCATCAGATAAAATATCTGGGTGTGATGTTGGATGAATGTATGTGTTTTAAACAACATACCGCATATATTGTTAAAAAAGTTGCCAAAAAAATTAATTTCTTAAGGCGTATATCTAAGGATTTATCATTTTTTGCCAGACTGACCATTTATAAAACGATAATTGCGCCACATTTTGAATATTGTTCAACGATTTTATTATTTTTAAATAACAATGAGATTCAGACTCTACAGAAAATGCAGAATAAAGCTATGAGGATTATTTTGCAGTGTAGTAGATATACTCCAATACAGGACATGTTAAATGCATTAAATTTTATAAACATAAAACAACGGATTTTGTTAAGAACGTTGCAATGTATATATAAAATAAAAAGTTTGCTCTTACCTAGTTATTTGCACAGTAAAATAACTTATGTAAGAGATGGACATGTTTATAACACTCGCCAAAAGGATGACTTTTATATAGAAAAACACAATTTATTAAAAACTAGTAAATCTTTGTTTTACCAGGGTCTTATGCAATACAATAAGCTACCAGAATATATAAAAAATTGTAATGGGCCGGTTAATCATTTCAATAAGCTAATTGTTAGTTACATTAGGTCACTACCGGGTAAACTTTTATATATTTCTGTTTTAAGGATTTTTGTTGTTTGAGTTTATGTAATCGTTTGTATGTATAGTATTTGCTAAATAAATGTGTATCTAAATAAGAGTGATTTTCGAAAATTTTCGAAAAACTGAAAGTGAAGCTCATTTTCATTTTTCATGACGAGTATTTGAATATTTTTAGAATATTTTTAGGACTTTCCCTGTCACCTCTGTCAAAGTCTCAAAAACAGGCGGAAAAATGGCTTTTTTTGTGGTCACTCTTTGATCATTAAAAACACTTAAGTTTTTCTGAAATTCCGTCAGGTGGATTGTATTATGTAGTTCACCTTAACTACACAAACTAAACACAGTGCTTTAAAAAAATATAAACTAAAAAAGAAATGTCTATAAAAGATTTTACATATCTTGGAAACGATAGACCTACAGTGAAAATATAGATGAGACTTTTAGAGGGCTAAATAGCTATTTCCCAGGTACCATGAAACTGATGATATAGCAAGACTACTCTGCACACTATTACCCCGACTAGCATTAAATTATAGACATAGGGTATAACTTTGAGTGGAAGTCATATTTATACAGGGGCTAACTTTGATCTTTAGAAACATTTTCAATAGTTTATTTTTTCAAATTCTATCATGAAAACATTTTTTTCAATCCTCTCTTAGTTGTTTTGATACCCCGCCTCTGGACATGCTAATGTGATCTCATACAACGCCGTGCCTTAGTCACAGCTCGTGCACAATTGGAAACTGGGTTTGCATTGTTGTCAAATCTTATATTTAAAGTAAACGTTATTAAAAAGCAAATTTCCATCCACTTGCCGTGAGGTACTGCTCTTTAACATGTAACTTTTGTTGAGTAGGTGTTCGCTATACGCCGTACGATGCCATAATAACAAATATTTATTTCTTTTAAATAAGATAAACTATGAAACAATATTTAACAAGTAACCTAGCAGAGAACTCGAGGAGTAATCAATAATGATAAATGAAATGCACAAAAATAATCTACTCACTCGATGTTTATAATGTGACATTTGAAATTTTGTTACAAATCAACGAATACTGGAAGGACCCCCTTTAATGGCATTTAAAATTTCTGGTTCCAAATTTTTCATTCTCCGAGTTTGTTCCCATCCAACATTAGTGTATTAGCATTCAAGGCTCTTATAATCTCTTTAATTTTGAACCAATCTTACAAACACTGTCCTATTCAGTACTTGTAAGTCGGGATTATCCATCCGGTATCGTATTCTTGCAACAGCATTGTTTTGTCCTGACAAAAAGTAGGCTCTAACCATGTCAATTCTTTCTTACGTTGAGTATACATGCCTTTTCATAATCTGATATAGAAATTTGAAGATAAAAACACAAAAATTCACTGAATCATCACCAAACACTGAATTAAATAACTTGGTGATAAAGTCGAAAACTTAATGCATACAGCCATTCCTATTTGGCCTAATTAATGTGGCAGTTTGTTTTCAACACATTTACCATCTTATCATATCATAGCATGTGCAAAGACAATTGGCGACATCATATGAACAGAACAGCAGAAGCCAACTTTGTTGCTCCCCTTTGTAAGCATTCCGAACTGTTCACAGTTTAATTTTGTTACGATTTTATTTATTTTGCATTAATTTGTTATGTTTACTACCGATTCGCTGCTGAAATGGCTGATTAAAAAAAAGAGTGAAAATATACCATATTTCTTTTTCTTTGTACTTGTACTTTTTCTACTGTACTTAGTGACAGTAGTATAGTTCAGCTAAGCTAGGTTAATGTCGGAGGTCGTTTACGTTGTGATTTAGAAATTGGAAGTTTGCTGGAATGTGACATAAGTTTAAACATAAAATATTTTTTAACCTTAGAAACACCCTGTTTATTTATTGACCACTAAAGACAAGGGGCATTAAACATTAAACTTGATAAATATTTTAGTTATTTTGAAATTTAACATTTTTTGCAGAAATATCTACAACCCGGACTGTCTCGCCAAGTACGGGGGTCCTGTAGACCCAGCGATAGCCCTCGGTGGTTTCTTACAGCCAGGAGAAACTCTGGCAAAAGACCCGCACTATGAAAATGCCACGGCGATTATCTTGACGTTCCTAGTCGATAACTACCATAACAAAAGCAGATTGGTGCCCGCCTTGGAATGGGAAAAGGAATTTATAGCCTTCATGAAAAACTGGACGGCAACCGAGAAGCCCGAGTTTATGGACGTAGCCTTCACCTCGGAGAGATCTATAGAGGACGAATTGGATAGAGAAAGTCAGTCTGACGTAGTAACCATCTTAATCTCGTATCTCATTATGTTCGCTTATATTGCCGTGTCTTTAGGACAGGTTAACAGTTGCTCCAGGTTGCTGATCGACAGCAAAGTCACTCTAGGTTTGGGAGGTGTTATAATCGTATTAGCTTCGGTTGTTTCATCAGTGGGGCTGTTTGGATTCTGCGGGTTGCCGGCTACTCTAATCATCATAGAGGTCATTCCGTTCTTGGTTCTCGCCGTGGGAGTCGATAACATATTCATTTTAGTTCAAACGCACCAACGCGACAAGAAGAGGCCTTCCGAGACCCACGCCCAACATATCGGCCGTACTCTGGGCCAAGTAGGTCCCTCTATGCTTCTGACAAGTGTTTCCGAGAGTTGCTGTTTCTTCTTAGGAGGACTTTCCGACATGCCGGCAGTGAGAGCCTTCGCTCTCTACGCTGGTATGGCCCTTCTGTTTGACTTCATCCTGCAAATCACTTGCTTCGTGAGCCTCCTATCACTCGATACCATACGGCAAGCGAGCAATCGATTCGACATATGCTGCTGCGTTCAAGGCTCTAAAAAGAACGAACCTGACCCCGACGCCGCCAGGCAAGAGGGCATGCTTTACACATTCTTCAAATCCATCTACGTCCCTATTCTAATGAACAAAGTGGTGAGGTGTGTCGTCATGATAGTGTTCTTCGGATGGCTCTGTTCGTCGATTGCGGTTGTGCCGCACATAGAAATCGGACTCGACCAGGAACTGTCAATGCCGGAGGATAGCTTCGTACTGAAATATTTCAAATATCTGAAGGATTACTTGAGTATCGGACCCCCGATGTACTTCGTGGTAAAGGGTGGATTGAACTACAGCCAGCCCGAAGCGCAGAATTTGTTATGCGGTGGGCAGTACTGTAACATTGACTCGCTGGTGACGCAAGTTTTCGTTGCTAGTAAGGTTCCCGAAACTTCGTTCATCTCCAGACCCAGTTCCAGCTGGTTGGATGACTATATCGATTGGTCCGTGGCAGCAGAGAGTTGTTGCAAGTATAACGAAACCACAGGGAGTTTTTGTCCACACAGTGACTGTAAGTTGATAAACTTTTTTATTTTCCTTACCTTGACTTATTCAGTTCTGCATATTCTGAATATTTGATAAAGCAACTATCTTTACATATTTAAGGTCATATTTGACCCTTCGATAAAGACCAATTCATGAATTCTATGAATGAACGTTTGTATACAAAAATTTGCCAAAGCGGTCTGTCTTAAAACATTAAAATCTTTAAAGAAATAATTAATTTGAGCAGATCTGAATATTCGCTTGTGAACGAATACGAATATTTGCTAAAGTAGTACATATTAAATTAAAAAAAATTAACAGTTTATCTTTAGACATTATTATTTGCAAACAGATCTAGATTGATTATTCGAACAGTTTGATTTCAGATTCATACTAACGTTTATGAATAATAGGAATATTCATTGGTCAATATTCATGTATGAATATTCATTTGCTAAAGAATATTAGTAAATTCTATAAATATTCGAAAATGAATATTTGTATACAAAATACAAATATTTGACAAAACAGTATGTCTTTATATTATCTAAATTCATTAAAGAAATAATGATTTGCACAGATCTATACCGAAAATTTGGGTCCTTTGGTTTCCATGCCACAATTGTATAGATGAGGATTCGTGAATTCTTGATATTCGCTAGTGAACGAATACGAATATTTGCTAAAATACTGTGTTACCTAAAATCCTTAGAGAAATTATTATTTGCAAACAGATCTAAACTGATTCTTTGAACCGTTCGATTTCCAATTTACAGTTTTTATGTATGAATGAATATTCATTCGTAAATTCTATAAATATTCGAAAATGAACGTTTGTTTACAAAAAACAAATATTTGACAAAACAGTATATCTTTACATATTATCTAAATTCTTTAAAAAAATAATTGGGTAATTTGGGTACTTTGGTTTCCATGCCACAATTGTATAGACGAGGATTCTTGAATATTTGCCAGTGAACGAATACGAATATTTGCTAAAGCACTGTGTTACCTAAAATCCTTATAGAAATTATTATTTGCAAACAGATCTAAACTGATTCTTCGAACTGTTTGATTTCCAATTCACATTTTTCATGTATGAAATATTCGTAAATTCTATAAATATTCGATAATGAACGTTTGTATACAAAATCAAAATACAAATATTTGACAAAACAATATGTCTTTACATATTATCTAAATTATTTAAAAAATATATATGTGCACAGATCTATACCGAATATTTGGGTTTTTTGGTTTCCATGCCACAATTGTATAGATGAGGATTCGTGAATTCTTGAATATTCACTAGTGAACGAATACGAATATTTGCTAAAGTACTGTGTTAACCTAAAATCCCTAGAGAAATTATTATTTGCAAACAGATCTAAACTGATTATTCGAACTGTTTGATTTCCAGTTCACATTTACATTTGTGAGTAATATGAATATTCACAAGTATTCACTTGCTAAAGCAGCATGTCCTTAGACAATATCTAAAATATCTAGAGGAATTATTACTTGCAAATAAATCTAAACTGATTTTTGCATGCTATAATTTATATTCCACACTTGTATAGAAGAATATTTATGATTTGTATGAATATTTGTTTGTGAATGTTATATTTGTTTGAAAGCTAATTATTTACAGAGCTAGAGAAGTTATTCAAGTCCATGTCTGTTAATTTATCAACTTAAAATGGCAAACGTTTGTATTCGTCCAATATTGAATATTTTCCAACAAATATATTCCTTATGTACACACATTAAATTGTCCGAATATTAAATGTTTGTATACAATGTCGGTGTTCAGTGTAAAGAGGGCACACCATTTCCAATAAAAAAATAGGATGTCAACCTCGGTTCTCTTCTTAGGATTTGATAAATATTATTTCTTTTAAATTCTCAAAACCCAAAATTATCTCACGTTTCTTCTCGTAAAATAAAAAGATCTAAGATTCAGACAATTTTTATTTTTCAGCGGACTGCGACACTTGCGAAATAAACTACCGTTCAGACAACCATCGACCCGTGGCGGAAGACTTTGAACGATACGTTTCGTTCTTCCTCCGAGATAACCCCGACTCAGACTGTGCCAAAGGAGGTCATGCTGCCTACGGGCCAGGAGTCAATTACAAAACCAATCCGGACACTAAGTTGTCTACTGTAGGCGCTTCCTACTTTATGGCTTACCACACGATTATGAAGAGCTCGGCTGATTTCTACGAAGGTTTGCGGGCAGCCAGAAAAATCTCTGCCAACATCACAAACACTATAGGGGTGGAAGTGTTCCCCTATTCCGTCTTCTACGTTTTCTACGAGCAGTATCTCACCATGTGGCCTGACACCTTGCAAAGCCTGGGAGTGAGCTTGCTCGCCATTTTCATCGTCACCTTCTTACTCATGGGCTTGGATATATTCTCCAGTCTCGTCGTTCTCATAACCATCACGATGATATTGGTCAATCTCGGCGGACTCATGTACTGGTGGCACATAACCCTCAACGCGGTGTCTCTAGTAAATCTCGTGATGGCCGTTGGTATATCGGTGGAGTTCTGTTCGCATTTGGTTCACAGTTTCTCGGTTTCCGTTAAACCCACGAGGGTGGAGAGGGCCGCCGACGCCTTGACTCGCATGGGAAGCTCGATTTTCTCCGGGATCACGTTGACCAAGTTCGGGGGCATCATCGTGCTATACTTCGCGAAATCTCAGATTTTCCAGGTGTTCTACTTCAGGATGTATCTGGGGATTGTGCTCTATGGCGCGGCGCACGGATTGGTATTCCTTCCCGTACTGCTGAGTTTCATAGGTAAGTTCGAGAAATGCATGTACCTCTCTTTGGTGGCGGCTTTGATTCTAACCCTTTACTTTGTTCATTGTCGGGCTTGGTAATGCTTTTTTGTAATTTTACGTGCGTTATTGAAGACATTTGATGAAATGCCGGGTCTTTGAACACTAACGATTTACCGTTTACAGACAGAGAATGATTAATGATGTATTACTATTTCCAAATTAAAAGTTTTTTACTTTCATATGATGGAATTTATTTAGTGCATTTATAAAAACGAAGTATATACAGGGTGGACATAATAATTAGGTAAAAAAAAAAATTTTATAATTGTAGATCCTTCTGGTAAAAACAAGGTATTGTGGTAATATAAAGTACATTCTTGTATTTAAGAGAATGACTGACTGACTGCCTGCCGTACTCAGGAAAAATTTTAAATGATAGCCAAGGCAAGCTAAAAACTTTTTAAACGATTACAATAGTAATATCCTCTAATTCAGAAATAGAAATGACTAGATTTTGTTATAAAAATAGCAGCGACGTATTTAAAAAAATTAACCCGATGAGGGGCCCTCGAAGACAAAACGTCGGATTGCAAAAATGTTGACGCCATTGTATAGAGCGAAAAAAGTGGCATTGTAAATATGTAATTTATATTAAAATTCGTTTTCAAATAGCGCCAGAAAAAAATTAAACAATTTTGCAAAATTTCGGGTTTCTCCGGATATCTCCGGAAATACCCGGAATTTTAAAACTTTCTAAACGGCATATTGTTAGGTATAAAAAAACACAACTTTTTCCTAATCTGAGCCACCCCATATCTCTTACTGTTTTCTATCCTTACTTGGACTGGACACTGTATATCTATGAATTCTCCAAAATTAAAAAAAAAATAAGTACACAAATCGTACAAAAAAAATAATTATTATTTATTTTATTTATTCACTATTCGACTTATGTTTATAGCAATAATGTACAAAAATAAAGCTCTGGGTCTTTTTTGTATTTTTTCCAGATTGGTGTAGTTTTTGATTTTTTTTTTAATTTAAACTAATTATCAACAATTACTGAAAAATTCATTGCTGCAAGTCATTAATTTTGTTTTTTTTTGCATTTTTGAGCAGGTTTTTGAACTGTGATTACAGATTTTTTTATTTCATTAAAAAGTATATTGTCAAAACGAAAAAAATTATCACCGGCAGAACTCTGTACGATGATTTTTCTAAGTAGAATTTTTCTTTGAAGAAAAAGTGCTTCAGACCCGAAAAAATGAATATCTCGTAATCTTCTTAATTATTTTATCTAAAAAAATTTGAGGTTATTTAAGACAAAGGAAGGTATACTTTCACCAAGTTTCGTCAAATTGAAATTATTTTTACGGAAATGAGAAATAAAAAACGAAAAATTTGCTGGTATGCAGTTAATCGTTCTCTTGTATCTATGAATGTACTTTACCAAAATACTAAAATGCTTGCTTAAAAAGATTCTAAGCAGGTTTTAAATATTTTCTATGCATATGATTTGTGGATTGAATCGAAAATATATGAAGTTTTTGTCATACTGAAAAAGCAGTGTAAAACTTTTGGCAAAAATATTATTAAAATAACTGATCCTTTTGATAGAAGGATCAATTTGATTGATTTATATATATATTTTTTTCATAGATGTTGAGATACCTAAATAAAAAACTAAAATTGTTTATTAAAAGTTTATCTGTTATGAAAAATGTAGAGGAAAGGATCTCTCACAAATTACAAAAGGAAATTGCGCTCTTTTCACACAATAATCAGCAATTAAAAATTAAAAAAATTCATGTGAAAATATTTTAGAAAAATCTAAACTACGCTTTTTACACGGTCAATGAAATTTATGAACCAAAGAACCGATTTTGATGAACGAAACGTAAAAGTATTTGTAAAATAATGGTGGTAATGGTTGTAATAATAATGGTAATAAATTTTCGACTATAATATCTCGGCTATTTCCAGAGCTGTCAAGTTGGGCTTGGTCTCAATCACTTTTGTACCATATTTGATTACCATAAACATATCATTACCATAACATAAACCATCAAGTTAGCCTGAAGAACCTACCTCAAAGGTCATTTTCAGAGAATGCAACACTATGTTAAAGTTCATTGTATCACGTTAGATGCGGTCTACTTTTGGCATTCAACCTATTTCCTCAATCAGTTAATTCGTTGGGAGCTTATAAACAAAAAGGTCGCTGCATATATGCAGAAAAGTGTGGCTAGGCTCAATATAAAATGAGTACATACTTTTTATATCTAAAAAGTAGTCTGACTTTTTGTCAAAATGTCATTTAAATTCAAATATACAAAATTTAATCCAGTCATTATAGACATGAAAACCTGTTTCGGGAAAAAAATACTATTAGAAGTTTCTCTGCGGAATATTGTTCGGAAACGTGTTATAAACAAAATTTCAAAAAATCAACTCGAGACTAGTTGGGAAACTTTATTTAAACAATGGTCAAAGTTATGGAATAGTGGTTTTTTGACTTGCGTAAAAAAACTGTTATTCATAGCGAAAAAAGGTTTATACAAAAAAGGTAGGTATTAAATAAACCTATAAAATGAGACAAGTCCGATTAAATTTCGATAATTTGTTTATGCGCGAGAGCTCAAAAATAGTCGAAAAAAGCAGTTTTTTCAATTTCTAATAATTAATACAATTTTCATCGCAGACACTTGTAATTCAGCATTTTTGAAGCTCTTTGCACCTATAAAGTTGTAAAAATTTTAGCCCGAAAGCTTAATTAGTTTGAGAAAATTTGTACTGTAAACATGAAGATAAAAAAAGTTGCCAAGTGAATAATAAAAATGTGGTGTGTGTATAAAATTGTCACAAAATGCATGTGCCTGCAGTCTTCTGTTCTGTTGCTTTTACATTGTGTCTAATTTCATTTTCCATACAACTAATTGTGTAACTAAGAAGTTATTCATTTATATTCTAATACTTAAATCAGAGTGCTCGTTGAGAAAAAATAATTTTTTAATTATCAAACGTGTTTTTAAAACCTTGAGTGTTATAATTCTTTATCTCGTTTATATATACATTTTTGCAATAAGCAAGTTTTTCTTTGGAACTTGGAAGTCATTTTTCTTGTGAATTATCCATAAATTGAATAACTTCTTTTTTCTGTAATAGGCAAAAATGTTACTCTGCAGTTGGGTACTCAACATTTGTTTGAGATATTTACTAAATTTCAGCAGTTTGTTAATCACAGAAATAAATTAAATGTTGAGTCCCGCTGTATATAAGAAAAATTAGTTTCGTTGTTGTACATATTTGTTTTCTGAGCCTGGTATATTTTCTTTTTGTTTAATTTGGCAAAAAATTGTATTTGCTTGTGATAATCATACGGGTTTTGATGTTTGTCATGCAGGATCACCCATGAATAAAGAGAAATTGGCGAAACAAAGGACTTTAAACGGGGAGCATTTCCAGGAAACACAATTCGGCAGAGTAAGATTATTTGTCTCTATTTTGTAGATATCATTCGCAGTTTCATTCCACGAGATCCTGCTGTATTTTTGTTATGCATTCCCTGGTGACGTCAGTCTATTTTTTTTTTATTATTTCTAGCTGTTATTCTTCTTGCCTACAGATAAATCCTAGGATCATCCTATTTCGTTGAGACATAATTTTATTAAAAAATAAAAAAAAGTTGAATTCTTAAAATATTCCCGAAGTGCTAGTACGGGGCAATATATTTAATTTGAAGTTGAATTAAAAACACATTTGATTTTAATTTCAAATTTTATGTCAAAAAATACAAGTCACTTATATTGTTCCTTAACAGCAATTTTGGATGCTCAGTATAATTTTTTATTAACTTAATAATTTTTTATTAACTTAAATAACAATATTTCCCTTAATGTTTAATCAATTTTAAAAACTAACGTTTTTTAACTAATTGTAAGTTACATGTCATATACAAGATGATTTTGAGATAACATGCATATATTTCTACAAAACTAGTTACCGACCAGTCTCCTCACGTCATTTTTTTCTTTGGTAAGAATTTTATAAGAAATACCAAGTAATATTTTTGGTATTTTTGTAAATAAGTTCTTAAATATATTAAGGTTATACACGGCTGGCAACGGTACATGGCCCATCTGCCTTTACATGAGAACGACAAAGTAAAGAAATCGGTGCGATAGACAAGGATGGGTATAGTGAAGACGTATAATCTGAATAGTCGCTCCCACTTCTAACCGAGCACATCCTATTGACTATTCAGATTATGAAACGTCTTCAATATAGCCATCCTTGTCTATCGTACGGATTTCTATGACTTACTTTGTCACTCTCACGTAAAGGCAGATGGACTGTGTGGATTTTCCAGCCGTGTACCTATACTAAAAAATGTAAGTCAGGATTAACTTTTAGAAAAACAAAAAAGAATTAGCGCATAACTTTAAAGTCTCGGTTTTTATTTGATTTCTGTGTAATATCTGGATATCATTAAAAGACGTGTAAGCAAATAGTTGAGATAAAGATATACATGGATTGTTGTTGTTGTATCGCCATATTATTTAAACAGATAAATTGTAATCTGTTATTCAGGATATGCTACAATGTTGCACATAGGGTTTGACATTTGTGTGCAAAGTCAGTGGCGTCACTAATAAATTTAAAAATAATTTAACTATTTAAATGTGTTAAATTATCACCGTTTCATTTTACTGCAAGTAAAAGGTGTACCTTAGCATGTTATAATTGGTTCGGTAGTGATCTTCAAACACAACATTTATTAGAGACCATTAGAGAAAACTGCAGCACATTTTGCTCAATCAATGTGATAAAAACGTGCTCTACTTTATAAATTTTCCTAACTGTAATTTCGTTTGCAATGTAAATTTTTTGTTTACTTAAGCCGGATCTTATATTACTTTCAGTTTTTTTGTTTTATGCTATAAATTTGAGAATACAGTCCACAGCTTCAGAGTTATGGCTATTTACAATGGTTTTTTGGATTGTTATGCCATGGGCTATATACCTGGTAGCCGCCTGTTACAGACACATTGTACTTCCTTAGCCGCAACTAGGAATCTTTGACCTGCACTTGTTGTTTTCGAGGTAGGCTCTGTGCGGGGAAAACTATTAGAACCCCTAGGCCCGTCCTGATGTTGATTTCAGTTCTTGCCGTTGGTTGCATCCGATATTTCCATTGGAAGAGTTGTGGTTACAGAATCCACTACGGAACATCTCAGGGGACCATTGGCCTAAGGAGCGGTTCCGTTCATAGTTGGCCTTAGAAAGAAGTGCAATGTAGTATGTAATTGGTGGTGACGAGGTGCATAGGACATGGCATATCAACCCGAAAAACCATGGCACTTTAAATATCAGCACAAGTCATGAGAGTCTTAAAACCACTATCATTTAGTATATATTTCTGGCATAATAATCGAAATTGTTCATTATCAGTCACACAGATTCGAATATTACACACCCACTTATGTCATGTAATAAAAATAGTCTATTCGGAAGCTGTAAGAGCAAATTTCATGTACGAGTACATTTGATTTTCGATGGCAACCGTTTTACACTGGATAGAAACTCCAGCTTAACAAAGTTGTTTCATACACGTGTTGTTTTCTTACTGTTCCATCACTGTAAATCAGCAAAATGTTTTTGTAATTTGGTCACTTATGTTAGACATTTTTATGCTCGCAAACATTTTCAAACAGAATTATTATTTTCTTACGTAATCTGCAATTATTCTTATACATTCACATTTAATGAGACCTAAATAGTTCTGAGTTGCTCGTATTTATTGAATATAAAAATCAAGTTATGTAATAAAAATACCCTAAACGGCAGCTGTAAGAATCAATTTCTTTTATACAGGGTGATTCAGAATTTATCCAAAAAAAAAATATTCGATGTACAGGGCTCTACAAATAAAATTTTGTAAAGAAAAAATCAAAAAGGACAATTCAAAAATGATTTAAAAATACACTTCTGCATGGCACTGGAAACTGGTCCACTGTAAAATCTGACCTGGCACAATGCGACTGTCACGGTGGCATTGACAAAAACGGACAAAAACTTGAAAGAATTTCGCAAGGAAAGGAATAAATAGGATTTTATCAGTAAATTCAATTGATTTTGCCGCTATTGTTATTATTAATTAATAAAATTACTTTGTGGTTTTAAATAATAAAATAATTTGACATACCTGATGTTACAACTGTTTAAAATTTTGTCCACCAACGTGTAAACACATTTGGGTCCTTCTTACTTAGTTTCTACGAATTAACACAAATGCTGTCTTGTTTCATCATAATACAAATGTTTTCTTGCTTCACCATAAATTAATACGATATCCAGTAAATCCGAGTTGCTATACACGCAAGCCATTTTTGACACTAACTACTAAAAAACTATTGTAAACACTATGGCAACGACGACTGTAAAATCAGATTTTAGTATTCGGAGTCACTGAGGCTCTCCATGCATATTATGAATGACGCTAGAGACTACAGTTGTCCAGCTATGTAATAGCTGGACAACTGTATATAAGGATACTATAAGGATTTTATAAAAATTTTTTTAGATAAGTTGTGAATCACCGTGTATATTTGACATTCGATATGTCTTACATTGATAGGAATCAGTAAAATTTTTAATAAATATTTTAATTTCATAAACAGTTCAAACGAAATGAACATATGCTATTTTCCCGCTTCAATTACGCACCAAAGCATCAAACTCTGCTGATAAATTCGGATAGTAAGTAGTAGTAGGTCACTTAGACATTTTTATGCTCGTAGACCTTTTCGCATAGAACGATTATTTTATACGTATAATTCTGTAATTATTATTTTACATTTACCCTTAAAGAAACCTAAATAATCCTGACTTATTTGAGTTAGTACCTGACACTAACTTGTATATAATTTCTGACGAATCGTTGAAATATATGTGCGTTACGAAATCATCTTACAAGTATTTGAGACTTTGTCTGAGTTGAATACGATTTCTAGGCGTGATGCAAAGGAGAGGATCACGTCACCGAGCACATCTGGAGGGACCAACCGAATCGTCAGTTGTATCGCCTCTGCTGTCATCTACATCGCGGCATGGCTATGATGCTATAGCCCCTGCGTTTACATGACGTAGCTTGTTTTTATTTATTTCTAGTGCGGTTGTGATTGGAAATTCGAAATAGTTCTGGTGTACATGTATCGCGTGAAATCTCTCCACCGTGTGCATGTGCGTTTGTCTCTCGGTTAGAAAATGACACTGTCATTTCGTGACACTTTAATAAGGTTAATTTATCAAAAAAAATAAGTCGATAACTAGACCTCTAGGTGTTTGTTATAGTTAAGTCAATTGTCAACCAAAGTATTTTTCTTAAAATTTCAAGACTGCTTTTTTAAAGCTAGCTGTCCTTTTTTTAAAAGGTAAATTGTTACATGTTTGATATTTTAAAGTGGAATCGACGAGAATATTAATTTCTCATGTTTTTATAAGTATAATAATTACAGTATTGATCAGATATTTGTCGTAATTTTGTATTTAGGAAATTACGTTTTTTATAACAAAATATACTTAAGCGCAAAAAATAAATTTAACTTTGTTAAATTTATAAACGGGTTTTGTAACGCAACATTTTTGCTACTAAATTTCAAAATTTTGAAAATAGATGTTGCGCGGTAGCGAAAAATGTTGATTTGCACATCTTCAATTTTGCATATGCAGCAATTTTCACAATTATTTTTATTTTACAAAAGCTACTGGTGTAATAAACTCCATTGGATATTTAAGTTTTTTTTATATGTGGCTTGGAATAGATCTATCGCAGTAAAAAGAAAAGGCTAAATGTGCTCTAACATATGTAGTTCGTCCAATAGTTTACTAAGGCTCATTTATGTGTACATTATATTTACAGGGTGTTTGAATCATTTCTTGAAAGTTATTTTTGTATCTTATCAAATTTTATTTGACGTCAGCCGTTTTTTGTTTAGATATATACAGTAGGGTGGCCCAAAAAAAACGAATATTTGTTTTTTGTGTTGTGAAAATATGTATGTCAGTTTATCACGTTTTAAGGGCCCCCTCAAAAAATCAGCTCAAAAAAAATTGTTTTAGAGGTCGCTCAAGATTTTTAAAAATTTGCAAATGATTTTTTTTTTCATTTTTTTCTCCTTAATTTATTATTTTCTAGGTTGAAAAAAATCACGATTCTGAAAATTTCAAATCGATATTTTAGTTTCTAAAGGTCACTCATAATTATATTAACTTTCAAAGTAGTGTACCTAAAATGTGTTCAAACGACCTCTAAAAATAAATATCGACGAACTAATAGTTTTTTTTTTTATTGAATTTGATGAACAAAAGAATAGAAATGAATCACGAGACACTTAAAAAATTTCTCGAGGGATATTTATAATTTTTTAAAATTTAAGTGTCAGAATCGAGATTTTTTCAACCTAGAAAATGATGAAATAACGAAAAAAATAAAAAAATATCAATTTTTGACGATTTTGGAAATTTTAAAAAATCTTGAGTGACCTCTAAAAAAACTTTTTGAGGGGGCTCTTAAAACATGATAAACTAACATATTTTCACAACACACGAAAAAAATATTTGTTTTTTTTTGGGACACTAATATACAGTGTCCTGATTTATAGATGTACAAGTATTAACAAAATCAAATTAAATTCATATTAAATTCTAAAAATTCTAATAACTTCATCAAAATTTATGAAAGATTTAGTTCAAGAAAGTGTAAAACACTGAATTAATCTTTTTCCAACAAAAAAAAATCTTGAATAGAAAATAATTCAAATAAATGATAGTACATTTTTAAATAAGAAAATTTTCCAAAAATCATAAGGTATAGTTTCTGAATATGCACGCATACTCTTAGAGCCAATTTAATAAAAAAAATTTGAACTTTATTTCTAACATAATTGATCTGTACACCTATAAATCAGGACGCCCTGTATAACAGAATTGCATTTACTTTCCCAATTCTTAAGGTTTTGAAATTTTTTGGAGAAAAACCTAAAAGAGCACGTTTTTTACAAAATGATACTCTTGTGGAAAACATACTTGTGTCTGCTAAAAAAAAATTCATTCAATATTTTCAGTTTACATTCCAAGAAATTTTGGTAAAATATTTTTGATTTGTATGTCATAGAAATAACGAATTATAAAAAAAGTGTATTATTGTACAAACAAAATTTATAGTAAAGTAATATATGTATTTTCTATTAAAATAGTTTTTGTTTTTCGATTCCCTAAAAAATAAAAAGATCGAGAACTAATACTGCAACAGCTGCTATTGTGATTTATTTAAAACATGAAAGATCTTTTTTATTTACATTTTAAGAACCATGCGTTTGATTTCAACAAAATAAAAATATTTTCAACAGTCAACAATTAGATTAAACAGTGATAAAAAAAATAAAACTAAAAAAGATTCCCAAATGACCAACAAAATTACATAATAAACAAATTTTTTTACTTGGACGAATCGATTAAGCTTTTGGCGGTTCAACTAAATTCAAGTCCAAATCCGACACTGCTTTCTCCACTTCGACGTCGATGGGTACCTCTCCTGCCTTAACTTTTTCCCAAGCTGTATCGAAGTCGTACGATGACTCTACACCGGGCTTGTCGACGAGATGGGGCTTCATTTTAAATGACTCCGTCAAACTCTCGAGCGCAATTTTATCGCTGATGTAGAATCCAGTGACGAATTTGAAAAGTTCATCTGGAGATTCTATTTCAGAAATCCTTTTTCCGAAAAACTGAAAAATAATTAAGATAACGTTGACACAAAATAGTAGTATACGAGTTACTCTGAAAACTTTTTGATATAGCAACACCAACCGAGTTACATCTACTGGTTTTATTGTTGTAGCCTGGGAGGTCGAAGTCCAAATAATCATAAAAACGTTTAAAGGCTTTTACCTACTGTTATCTAAGGCTATGGAAGTACAATAAAAGTCTGCAACTGGCCACGACCAAAAATCATACTTCTAAAAATTGAAGCGGCACCTAGTACATTAAGAAGAATTCGTTTCAAAGTTTTTCGCAAAAACACCAGGTATGCTACGAAATTAGAGCTGGAACACAACACCCAACTGTCCCACATAAACCATATTTAACAGTCAAATTTCTCAATGAAGAAGACATGAATCGTCCAAATCTAGAGAGGCAAGATCTTCGAGAATACGCTGAGTCACTGAAGTGTAACCGAACAACTCTGACATCTTGCAGGTCGGTAACCAGAGCAGAAGTCTGGCCAGTGTGAAGTACATTAACCCAAGTTAAACGTTTAGAGGAATATAAGTCCAAAAGATATACTGATACTTGACAGGTAAAAACAGCCTGGAAAACTGAATACAGTTTTTTTCTAATTCACTAATTCACATCCAACTTTAGTTATACAGTTGCATTTTATAGGACCCTCACTTGTGACATAACCATACTTTATAAAAATTTACATAATAAACTTTTTTCAATTCAGAACAGTGTTAAATTTGTTACAAACACCGCTTTAGACCTAATGTTCAAGATTTGGGCTCAAGATCTTCTGTGTCTGTGACGAAGATCCTAAGGGATAAAGCCAAGTTTAAAAAGCAGATTAAAAAATGGCATCTTAAAGAACAAAAATAGTGAAAAAATAGCCAGTGTGTAAAAAGATCTCATGAATCCTGAAATGAATGAATTGAAAACATTTCAGTAGAAAACAGTTTAGATGAAAGCCTTCCTACTAAATCAGTGCCGTCTTGAAGGTATACCGTGATAATAGGCTGACAAACCAGAATGTGGACCAAAGGTCTAAGCAGAACAACCAACCAAAAACGACACACTCTCCTCCAAACATGCGCAGTAAATAGTACTATGAGAGAGGTGTTCGGCAACTTCAATTACCTCTCTAAAGAGTCGCTGGACACGAGAGACCCAGCAACGCATGTTGGTTATGATTTCAGCAGTCTTATCGAAAACAGAGGTATGGAAAAAAATTACATGACAGTTACTCCATTAACACCCACAATAATGCAGATTAAGCACTCTACGATTTTTTTTCTAAACCAGATACTGAGGAGAATCAATATTTTCACCTATGTTTTGAATTTAACCACGGAAACTGTCCACAGAGCTGCAAACCACTCCAAACACCCTAGCCGCAGTAGATGACATCAAGAGAACCAAATACTGTTGGAAATTTCATTCGTTTCAAATTTTTTCGCAAAAATGCCAGGAGTGCTACAAAACTAGAGCAAGAATACAACACCCAACTGTCCCACATAAACCATATTTAACAGCCAAATTTCTCAATGCAGAAAACATGAATCGTCCAAATCTAGAGAGGCAAGGTGTCAGAATGCAAATTGAACAGTGGTCTTCGAGAATTCGCGGAGTCACTGAAGTGTAACCAAACAACAACTCAGACATCTTGCAGTTCGGTAACCAGAGCAGAAGTCTCTGGACAGTGTGAAGTACATGAACCCAATTAAAGCATTTAGAGGAAAACCAAGTCCAAAAGATATACTGAGAGTTTCACTTAACAGGTAAAAACAACCTGAAAAACTGAATACAGTTTTTTCTAATTCACTGATCATAATCCAACTTTAGTTACACAGTTGCATTTTATAGGACCCCCTCACTGGTGACATAATCATACTTTGTAAAAATGTACATAATAAACTTTTTTCAATTCAGAACATTGTTAAAAAATTTGTTACAAACACTGCTTTACAGCAAATGTCCAAACCGCTCCACATCTTGTGTCTGTGACAAAGATCTTAAGAGATAAAGCCAAGTTTAAAAAATGGCTTAACAGGGTTCATAGTTCAAAAGTAATATAGAATTCCGTGACTTTTCCAGGTTTCCCCCGACTTATAAAAAAAAATCCAAGTCACATTTTCACATAAATTGGTGTTTATGCATTAAACTTTTTCTAGACTGTACTCCATAATATTTTTTAAACCCAAAGAACCTCTTATAAAGGTTTCAAAACCACAAATAGTTTTCTTTTTCAAGAACCCAGGGCTGGCTGGGAAAAAAATTACATGACGGTTACTCCATTAACACATGATTTTCTGCATCGATTAAGAGTCAAGCTGTAGGCACCCACAATAATGCAGATTAAGCACTCTACAATTTTTTTTCCTGCCCAAGACCAAACGAAAAATTCGTGATTCCACTTGAAGACTTGATGAGAAGAAAGTTTACCGTGAAGCATTTTCTAAATGGTTCCAATGCTTTATTAGCTTTTATCCAAAAATTTGCAAAGTAACCATTGTACATTCGTCATATTTAAAATAAATACTTACAGTGGTGATATTGATGCAATCCCTATGAAGGAAACGGAAGGCGTTTTCATGACTTGGTTCCACGGACTGGCTAACGTCTATAAAGTAGCACTGCCCTTCATGCCATAAAATGTTATACTCTGACAAATCCGCGTGAATCAAGTTCGCTTCTTCGTACAGCAGCTTCATTGCATTCTTTACCTAAAAAAAATGGAGATGTTAATATTTCTGACGCTTTACATAATCTGTAAGATTTACCTCTTCATAAGCAGCGATGAAGTCCGCATCACTCATTACCGCATCTTTTAATTTAGGAGCAGGCAGGTTATCCTTGCCGATAAAAGACATCACCAAAACGTGCTCCCTTAACTTAATGACTTCTGGGCACGGTATCCCAATTCTCTTGAGACGCATTAGGTTGGCCATTTCTTTTTCCGCCCACAACTGAATGGATTTTCTCGTGGTTTGATTTCGGAATCTCTCCTTAAATCGATGGTCGTCTTTAATGTACCTGTCGCGTTGTTTGAATTCTGAGAGAGTCGTTTTGAAAACTTTTATGGCACATTCTGTAGGCCAGTTTTCCGTGGCGTATGGGAAAGACGGATCCAAGGCGGCGTGAAGTATTACAGCCTCCTTACCTACAATTAAGGAAATAATAGCCATTTTCAGTGGGAACATATGGAACCTAGTGATAGTCTAGTAACTCTCTCCAATTATAATGAATTTTTTCCTTTTCTTTTACTTACAACGATTCAATGAAAGTCGTACTTACCCACACTTATTACGCCATTGACACCCTGCAGCAATTGATTGATGATCATTTTATAAAGCAACAACCGAGTATGTTGGTCCATGCCAAACACGGCAGTAGCATGTTCCTTTTTATCATGTAATTTATGACGCCTTGCTTGTTCATTTCGGGAATGCATTTTTAGGCTGAAAAATAAAATTAGTAACTTACATACATTAATAATTTACTGTTTGCTTGATATATTACCTATTAAAGACCTTATTAGATAGTTTTAAATCAAACATTTCTCCATCTCCCGTTTGAAATTCAGGAGGAAACGACAGAAGTTTGCATGCATTTTTTCTTCCGTTCATTACAATGTCGTGTTTTGTAATCATTTTACCATCTTTCTGCATTTTATAGCCGCATGCTGGTATCGAAGCTATTTCTTTTTCAAGGGGATCAAACCGATCCCAATCTTTTCTATCTCGTATATCCGTTATTTCTTCCTCTTCCGATTCACTTTCGAAATCTAGAAATATTAAATACATATAAATAGATAAGAAGATAAGATTAATGTAAATAACATAAACATATATCTCAGTGGAGGTTTTTTCTTTATAAACAAGTGAAATGTAAAAAAATAACATGGAGAAAAAATGGGAATTATGTAGTTTGTAAACTTACCATTATTTAAAGGAACCCTTCTATAGTTGTCAAACGATATAGATACTTTCGAGGACCCATTATACTTCTCTTCCTTACGTTTCAGTTCCTGATCGTATTCTTTATCGAACTGCATCTGGAGCATTTGAGCAATCATCGCATCACTCTCAAAACTATCATCACTAATAGCTTTTAATATTTCTGTAGGAATATCTTCAACTAAAGCTGCCACAGCAGCCTCTGTATCCTCGACTTGGTTTTCTTCATTAAACATATCCACAAGCTTCTTATCTTCCTTCGCTTGCAAATCTTTTGCTACCTCTTCGGATAGAATATCTGCGAAATTTACTGGTTCTGGTTTTTCAATTTTGGCCCACGGACACGACATGGTTTTTCTATTCTATGTTAACTATGGAAGTACTAGAAAAATATATCACAATAGCTATTTAAACTAAAAAGTTGATGAATATTGTAAAATGTTGTGCAATGAGTAAAATGACAGGTGAATTCACAAAACACAAATAACCACCGACCATTGAATTCCACTGGAAGAATATGTTCAATATAAATTGAGTAGCGTTCACCTGCAACAAATTTTGCCACATAAAAGTAGATATGGGGGCTTTCGTTTTGGTACAAATAGTATCTATATTAGCAACTAATATCAGTTCAGAGTAACTCTAACTTGCTATTAGCTACTATTTTTGTCAAATCGAAAGGCCCTCGGCCATATCAGTAAATCATTGTACATATTATTATTATTAATATGTATTACATACAATGAGTAAATAAATTTAGTTACTCAGCAACACTGTCTTGTTATGGCTCATTACTGTATTCAGCAATTCGTTAATAAAGAGTTAATACCTAACAAGTTTCTTTTAATGTTTCATGTTTACAGATGTTTAAAATTTTGTTGTGTAATGAAAAACGTATTGCTATAATTTAGTACGACCGAGATTACAATCTGCTTTTCGGCCGTCAATTTGTCTACAATTCCTGTGCCGACAGACGGATTCTAATATGAAGAAACACGCAAGCGGAGCTTCCAGGCAAAGTAAATTTGGATGTTTCTGTTCCGTTTCTTGTTCTATGCTCATGCTGTCGGGCTGTACGATCCCCCCCCAATTCATCTTTGTCGATTATCGATAGCACCAAATGACGTCATGAATTAGCGCGGCAACATTTAAAATGTTTATTTTACCTCAAACTTTAATAACTACTACTAATTAACATTTCTAATATTTTCATTACATGATTATACTTATAAGGTTATAGATTCCTTCTGAATATTAAAATAAATATATGCAAATTGCCCATTGAAATTTATGTCTATATTTACGTCACTGCAAATAATATTTAATTATTGTTCAGAGTATAATATTAAATTTTGTCTTTAAAGTTATTCCAGTAATAAAATTGTGAATAAAAAAAAATTTCAGTGAATTTTTTTGTTAATGTCTTACTTCTTAAAACATTTTATACTTAAATTTTTCTGCAATATTTAGTCGATCTTCAATCTTTGTTCTTGTAGTTTAATGCAAACCTTTACTTACCAATGCTTATTCTACCTTTTGCAGAGGAAATAGGGACAAGTAGTAACAAACAATAAAAGAACTTAGATTTTTTTTATTAAATTTAGAAGCTGGATTGCACCACCACCTAGCCTATAAAATTTGTTTACAACAAAATTTTAAAATATACAATAGAAATAAAAAAAATCTACATATATATAATGATTTAAAGAATAAACAAATAAGGCTACAAGTTTTACGATATGTTTCCGAAAGGCAAAATTATACACATTAAAATAGATTTTTTACTACATTACTTTTTACACTTCAATATAATTAAGTATATTGTGCCTAAAATTATTACCCTCGTTTATACATTTATATTGTACTTAGACAACGGACCGAACTTAGGAATTGAAACACTAGATGGCGACAAACCCAAAACATTTTCCGTGAGTGTCACCTAGAACTTCCATTCTTAATTTTGATTGGTTGTCTAACTATAAATATACAAACAAGATTATTGTTATTAAAAATTTACATAAATCAGGTTATTTTATGAGCAATCGTACTAACTGTAAAAAATATCTTATTATATACACCCAATTAAAGAATTAGACGGAAAAATTATAACTAATCAATTAATAAAAAAAATTTATATAGGGTGTTTTTTAATGAAGTAGCAAAAATAGTACCATTGAATGTTGAGCCAAAAATAAGAGGATTGAAGTAAAAATACCTTATATGAAAGTTGCACCCCTGAGGTGATACACCCTCTTAAAGGAGGGGATTGAAATTCACATTTTATAAAGCAAATTATTTATTTAAAAATATTTATTGGGAAGACTGATTTATTGCGCAACTTTTTTACCTCTTGCAATTTTTCAATAAAACTGATAGTTTTCTAGTAAAAAAATTAGATGCGTCATCGTTCACTAAAGAGGTAATTGCGAAAATATGTAAAAATAAAGTAGGCGGATGTCATAACAAATAAATTGTTATTTATCATATTAATAAATTGACACTTTCTGTCAACCCATAATTAGTACTAGTAATTAGTAAGATTATACCACCAAATATATCCAAACCAACCGATTCCTCATAGACAAACATTGGCCTCGGTGGAAAGAAGGCTTCGCGAAACTGGTAAAATTCAGCCCAATCGTGAGGGTGCTGGAAGAAGGCGTAATGTCCGAACTGTTGAAACTGAGGAAGGTATACTGGAACATCTAGAACAAGACTGTGGTACAAGCACAAGACAGATGTTCAGGCAACTGCAAGTTTCTCACAGTCTTGTGTGGAATGTAGCTCATGAAAATATTTTATACCCTTTTAACCATCAACCCGTGTAAGAAATGAATGACCCTGATTTACCCAACTGCATGGATTTTTGTCAATGGTACATTAATATTTCCAGGAAAGACTTAAAATTTCCTAATTAATATACTTTTCACCGATGAAGCTAATTTTCCTAGAGTAGGTACAGTAAACCTTCATAATGTTCATTCATGGTCGGAAGAAAATACTCATGAAATATTTGTTTCAAGATGTCAACATAATTTCAGTTTAAACGTTTGGATGGGAATTGTAGGAAATACTCTAGTGTTCTTTTATTCTTCCACACAGGCTTGAAGCGGCCGAGTATCTTAGATTTTTGAACAAATATCTTCCAACAGCACTTGAGGATGTACCCCTCGCTACACGTCAGGTGATGTGGTATATGCACGATGGGGCGCCTGCACATAGTACACTTGCCGTTAGAGAATGGTTAAATTTAAATTATCCGAATCGCTGAATTGGTCGTGGTCGTGATGACCCTGTTTGTTGGCCTGCGCGTTCACCTGACCTAACGCCTATGGATTTCTTTTTGTGGGGACACATAAAAAGTATTGTTTATGCCGCTCCTTTTGTTTTGTTAGAAGAACTACGCTTAAGAATATTTCAGGCAGCAGATGACCTTCGCAGTAACCAAGAACTGTTTGTGTGTGTGCGTTATAACTTCAACAGACCTATTAGGTTATGCTTGCAGCAAAATGAAAATTATTTTGAGAATATACTTTAAATTTAATTTTGCATTTCTTGTTTTTCGTTTGTATTACATTTTATTTCAGATAAATAACTTACCTAATACATGTCCCATAGTCATAAGTTATCAAAAGTTTTTCATTAATTAATAGCAAATTATTCTTAATGTTATTATTAAATTACCAGCTTGTTGACAGAAAGTGTCAATTTATTAATATGATAAATAACAATTTATTTGTTATGACATCCGCCTACTTTATTTTTACAAATTTTCGCAATTACCAATGAACGATGACGCATCTAATTTTTTTACTAGAAAACTATCAGTTTTATTGAAAAATTATAAGAGGTAAAAAAGTTGCGCATTAAATCAGTCTTCCCAATAAATATTTTTACTAATAATATATTGCAATGGGGTTGACTGTTTCACTCCTTTATAAAATACGCCAATAATCGAACAAATATTGAAAAGTTGTCTCTTCATTAGTAGGATGGTCATACCAAGTTTTGTGTCTCTAGCATTCCTCATGTTAAAGAAAAAAATTAAAATGTGAATTTCAATCCCCTCCTTTAAGACGGTATATCGCCTCAGGGGTGCAACTTTCATATAAGGTATTTTTACTTCAATCCTCTTATTTTTGACTCTACATTCACTGGTATCATTTTTGCTACCTACTTCATTTAAAAACACCCTGTAAATAATGATTATTAGATGGCCTAAATATATTTTAGCTGCTATTATTGTATCATCGTTATATAAATTTATATTTTTTTTTAACGGAATTATAAAATACGTATTCCTTTATTAGTCAAACTTCCACGTTTAAGAATTAGTTACTAAAATGTAATATTTTTATGAATTCTGATTACGTCTAAATAAGAAATATAACAAACTCAAATTCTTCGGGCTACTTTTACTGACATGACTTTCGGAAGTTCGACTATATTATCAAGATTTTACTAAAAGGAAACAAGAGAAAAGCTTCATCTGAAGAAAGTCTCCATGATATCGACCCAAGTTAATAGATCTGTCACGTTCGATATTGCTGGCTCGCTTTATTAAAATGATATGCTTTCGACTTCTATCAAAAAATGTTTTGAGAGATTCTTACCAAATTGCAAAATAATAGATTTTCCTTCTCTCCTACTCCTACAACAATTCTGTTTCTAACTAAGAGTGTGTAGATTTAACCATTGGTCTTCAACTATTCTATATGTACAAATGGCAGTCGGTAAAAACTTTCTTAGTGGGTTAAAGTCTTATCTCTAGGAAGAGGTGCTAATTACATTAGCTTTTAAAAAAGACACACTATAAATGGAATGCTGGAAAATTTGATTAAATAAATGCAAAAATAAATACTATCAGAAAATTCGTTACAAAAATAAAGACAAAATAAATAAATACAAAATATAAAAACTAATAACCTTTCAAATTCGTTAAAGAAGTCTTATACATTTATTTTGTACTAATTTATTAAATGAAGTAATTTTTTTTTAAACACACGTAACTGTTAATTAAAGAAAATACCCATTTTAAAAACAGCATTTTTATAAAACCCCTGTAAAAACCATAAGAGGATGAAAAAAGTTCAAAACGACTTTTTAAGTCCTACTAAAAACCCTCCGAGCGAACGAAGGAATAATTTCATTCAACTGTAACTTTTTAATATCACATGACTTCGAGAAGGGCTAAGCGACACCTATCTCTCATCTTGATGATTATTAGCCTGCCATTTAAAATCGCTATCCATTATCCATTGCTGACCTTCACTGTAGCTACACGACTTCAGTAAAGGTAAATTCACGTCGCTATTGTCGGGTTTCGTCAAACAGCTCCCAGTATTTACGTGTTTGATTGTTTTATCCTAAAAGACATTTAAAATCGTAGATTTAAATATCCAAGAACAACAAGAGAACGACTTACCACATCGTCATACACCCAAGCTTGGTTACCGCCCATCCCGTGGCAACGTACAAGCTTCACCGGACCCGTCCTACTGCTTGCGTCAAGGCAATTGTCGTCCGACATAATTTGCTGTCGTTTAGTGTAAGCAAACACTTGATTGCCACCCAGGTGGTGGCAATAAGTCATTCCGAGGTTTTCTCCGGATTTCCTGCCCATCGTGTCTAGGCAGTTCCTCGTCTCTACATTTCGAATCTGCACCAAACAAGAGATCAATCTTTAACGCTGATAAATAATTGTTTCTATTTATCAACGTCAAAAACGTCATTTAACACTTACGAGCCAAAGCAAGCAGTGCTTTGCTCTTTTTAATATAAATTAAAGCAAAATCGAGACGAGAATGTTTCACTTACATCTCCAAGATAGTAGTAGTCTAGCGGCATTTGAGACTCTGGGTAAATATTCTCCAAATACCACCTGAAACTTTTACATTTCAGTTTTTCCCTTAATTCTTTTCTCGCTGAAATATCACCAACCGGAACATTCCTGGCCCCTGTGAAGACAGTATACTTAGTTTTCATTCTGCAGTTATGATTATCGGCGTTACATGCATTCTCGTGACAAAGAAAATATCAAAAGGCGAAAACAACTGTGCACATTTTAGTAAATTACCCCTGCACGTCGAAATATATTAGTGAATAAGTATAACAGAGTTTGTGTAATATTCGAACAAGAAACTATTGTGTTGTAGTTGAAATCACAATTTAATTTTTATCAAAGTAGTAGATGTTTCATTTCAGCTTATTTTTTTTTTCTAGTTGTAACTAATAAAAAATATACATAGTGTCGAGAAACCAATGTAACGTATGTCAGAGGTAGCTTCCTTGGATGAAAATAAACCTTAAATCACGTTATTGGTACAAATCTGGTACAGTTGTTACGATATCAATTGGAACCTTTGAATCTTAAAGCACAGGACTGTCTGCACTTCTCTTGAAATTTCTTTCTATGCTTTAGCCATGATCTGTCTCGCGAATCCGGTATTGGTAGACCAGTCTGCCAGATGTAGAATCGGCGGCGGCACGCTGGTCGTCAAAGCAAACCTGTCCACTAGGTCGTAAGTCATTTTTTGCATGGTATTCTATAATTAGTTTGGTGTCGATCGCGGTTCACTTGGCTTTGCCACTGCAGTAGAGAGCAGTGCGTGGTATATTTATTGTTGATGTAATATGTATTATTAATTTATTAGTTAATTTTATTATTTGTTCATATCATAACCAATAAAGGGTAATAGTTATTAAAATAAATATTATATGTAATTATTTATTAATTTAGAATGGCTTTCTGGAGATCCAACGAAATAACCCGTGAAAATCCTCAAATAGTCAAGCCGGTTTTTGTCGAAAGCGTCGAAACAAACTCAGAGTTTAAAAACAAAGATTTACACGTACAAAGTCAACGAATTATTTTAAATATATATGAATGTTTGAAAAGAGAAAATAGTAAACAATGTGATAAAGAAATTAAGAAACGTATTAGCAAATTAACTAAGATATCAAAAACGACAATTTATCGTGTAATTAAAGAAGGAGACAATATTAATCATGGTACAAAGAGGAAACGGAAAAATACAAAATTAAAAAATATTGACGATTTTACCAGAGATGTAATACGGCGCACAACTTATAATATGTATACCGTAAAGTGGGGTTGCTTTGCGTCTTAAGGGGATACTTTGCCACACAAGCGGAAAATGTTTAATGTAATTGGTTCACATAACAGTAATGTATTCAATCCAATTAACATCAGGGTATTGATAGTGACTTATGTGGCCGTGATTTGCAGAATCGTTGCCGCCCAAAGACAAATACGTCACTTCAAATTACATTTGTGCATCGAAAAGTGACGATATTTTCGCTATGTAAAATCTTGCTGTAGTGAAGTTATTATTAGATACAAAATAGTAAGAATTTGCTTATTAGATCTATAGTGTACCGTCATTGCTCTGCTATAAAAATATTTAGCGGTTATCATTAAGAATTTCAGCAAAAACATATTTCGTGAAACACATGCATTTTTTATTATTTGTGGGGATACTTTGCCCCACGGTTTTTTAGTGGATAAATGCAATGCAAAAATCTTTAAAGGCATGAAAATGGCCGCAAAAATGTGACCAAATTGTTTATGCATAGGACGACGTGTCTATAAAACCACCAGTACAAATTTCCAAAAGAGGATTTTTTGAAGTCCCGGAGTTAAAAACATGGTGATGTTAAAAGAGTATCCTCCTGCAGCTTTTTCATTATTTTATATCTTATTTCAGAATGTTTATTTCATTTTTTTGTAACATTTTAGAATGTACTTTTTATTTTTGTAAAATAAATAATAAAAAAAATATTCTTGCAATTTCGTATATATCATTATAAGCGTCGGAGAAAGGTCTATCAACGACCAAGTTTACTTTATCCCACTTTTGTTATAGCATGAACTATATACTTTGCTCCACAAAAAAATTAATAAAAAAAAATAGTTAAGACATTGTTTTCAGTTTAATTAGTACAATATGCATATTTCATCCTTTATGTTCGTCCAGTCCGAATATGAAACATTTATTAGCATATAGTCAATTTTTTTCAGGGAGTTTTTAGTATTTCTTACATAAAATGGAGCAAAGTAACCCCACTTTACGGTAAATAAAAAAAAATAAAGTTCCTACTTTAAATATGATTCGAGATAAATTAAGCGACTATCCTGATTATAATTATAAATCTTTATGATATTTTACGAGTTGTTTTATTACAATGCGGTTTTAAATATAAAAAACTTAATAATCGTATCATAACTATATAAATAGGAATACAGTATATCTAGACGAGACAGGGCAAAATTTTTCTGGACTCCTATGAATTCCGTTGAGTTTATGAGTTAAATGTTTTTATGCGGTTCCAACTGATATCGTAACGACTATAACTTGATCTGAATCGATTTATTTCCACCCCTCGAATTATGTCCCATTTGTTTCTAAACACCCTGTATAACTAGTCAATTTAAGTAACGTAAACAATACTTATAAAAATTTCAATTTTGGTAATAAGCCCCCTTAACATGAAAACAATTTGGACTTTATTGAAATTACGGATGGTTTTTCTAGTCACCACACACAGTTAAACATCCATCGTCGGGAACGTCACACACAGACCTCACAAAACAACCAAACGATCGCAACGATTAAGCCGTTCCTGTGTGCCAAAAACAATTTAAGCGACACTACACCACAAAAGCTCCACAGAAAAGGACAGGTCACATGCAAGACGTGCTGTTAAAAGAAAGTAGACCTGGGTTAATATTATAGTAGAACTCCTTCCACTGGTCCAGCCAGACCTCGGCCAGGCGTGCATTGTTATGGTTGACGATCCTACTGGTCCCGCCCGGGAACGAGTACGGAGTGGATTTCCTGAAAACGTGCCCCACGTGGGAGCAGGTCGCTATTTCCAGCTGGCCCCCGCACATCCACACCTACAGCACCGAGGCAGAAAGATAGACATGCACCTTATTAGTCGATTTTCTGTCACTAGCAGAATGGTTATTTATTGCTAGGCATGGGGGGAGTGATATCGATAACAGTCATATGCTGAAGATCATCGATAGATCTGTCGGGTTAATGTCGAAATTTATGCGGAACAAGCTGACATGCCCAGAGATTTTTTTTTTGTAAGTGTATTATTCCCACCCTGTGTCTGCATGTGTCGATGTGAGTTTTTGGGAGGCAATTTAATTAATCCTTGATAAATGTATCAGTATTATCTTTAGATGAATTGTACGGCAAATTATCCACTACAAAAACAACGGAACTGAAGATAATTTGATACCAAAACATCACACTTCTTTCATGACATGTTTCACTAATACAGCTGGCATCGTCGGAAAATGATCATACTTGTGTCAAAATGTACAGTGAAAAAATGTAATGCAAAATTGTAAAGATATGGTGTGATTGACTCTTGAAATGATTTTTAACCAGCAAAATTCGAAAAAATTTACATTGTCAATTTTGCAGAATCATTTTTCTTGTATTGTAAGCATTTTACCAATTCTTATACTAGTTAATTGAAGAAAAAAATGAAGGTTAACCAGCAATAATTAACTCTACTTTTAAATAATAGAACATGTATGGGTGTACATGTACCTAATATAGTGGTATCGGAAGTCCTACAAATTGTTTTATTTAACCGCTAGAGGGCGTCAATGTTAACAAAAAGTGAAATCTTTTTTGAATATCAAATCGTCAAAAAGTTTGGGGAGTAACCCAATGGCGCCACAAATCAAATATCTTATGGAGATATTGGTTTTAGTGATCTTATTTTTGACATTTTCAAAACAATGGACAAAACTGAATCTCGTGTGTTGATTAATCAATGTTTTTGATGGACTAAAATACCTTTAAGTGACCTATAGTGGCTAAAGGAAGCACCAACAAATTTTGTTAAATCATTCCATTGTAGTTTGAAGAATCTGTAGTAGGCCTACGTACACCAAATATTACATCTGTACATAGGTTGAACCATTCCGGTGACTCCAGGTATACAGGCTGTTACAGATTCCGTTCTCACTACAGGGATATCGGAAACGGTAAGAGGTACGAAGTAGCTTAAATGAGGGCTAAGTTATGTAATCAGGTAATCAGGGGACCATCATCATGCCTCTAAAAAATCAAGGCAAACATTATTAGTTTTCGAAATATTTGAAAGAAATCCGTTTTTGTTTCACTTCAACATTATTTGAGGTGATATTGAAAAAAAGAAGAACACTTTCTCAAGGCAACTTTTTATCCTCTATCGAATGGCATAATTAATTTTTATATGTAACGCTTCATCTCTCCAAGACCATCATCAACTTCGTTTTTTTAAATACGATCCTGGAAATTTTATTACATTGTTTGCAAGCCTTCGTGATCCCCTCAGCTCGGACCATATTGAGACGATTTGTCTTGAAAAATTAATCTTCAATGTAACGGGTGATTCATTTAGAGGTACTTTTTTCAGTAGCGAGTTTAAGACAGATCACGCATGAGTCCACTGAACTGTCGTGGTATTTTGGTTCAGTACTGTCTGACATTTCATCATGGAAAGACTTAGCCCGGCACAACGTCTACAAATAATTCAGCTGTACTACGAGAATCAGCGTTCTGCCAGGAGTGTATTTCGTGCTCTTAGAGCAACATATGGTCTACATAATCGGCCCACCGAACGCACAATTCGCTACACCGTCGAGAAGTTTGAAACCCAATTTTCATTATTGGATAATACGCGACCAAATAGACCGCATACAGCACGAAGTGCAGAAAATATTGCGGCGGTAGCCGAGAGTGTACGTGATGACCATAATGAATCAATTCGGCGCCGATCTCAACAGCTTGGCTTGTCGTATGCAACAACTTGGCGTATTTTACGTAAGGATCTTGGTTTGAAAGCATACAAAATTCAACTCATTCAAGAATTGAAGCCGGCTGACCTTCCAAATCGTCACCGTTTCAGTCTTTGGGCTCTTGAACAGCTTGAAGAAGATCCAATGTTTTCGACCAAAATTTTGTTCAGCGATGAGGCCCATTTCTGGCTTAATGGCTATGTTAATAAACAAAATTGCCGTATTTGGGATGAAGAACAACCCGAAGAACTTCAAGAGCTGCCATTACATCCAGACAAAACAACGGTTTGGTGTGGTTTATGGGCTGGTGGAATCATCGGTCCATATTTTTTTAAAAATGAGGCCGGCAGGAACGTAACTGTGAATGGCGCCCGTTATCGCGCCATGCTAACGGACTATTTGCTGCCTGAAATTGAAGCCCGTAATCTCGATGACATTTGGTTCCAACAAGACGGCGCCACTTGCCATACAGCCCGTGCAACCATGGCTTTATTGCGAGAACAATTCGATGAACAGTTAATTTCACGATTTGGACCAGTGAATTGGCCTCCTAGATCATGTGACATCACACCTCTAGACTTTTTCCTTTGGGGCTACGTGAAGTCCAAAGTCTATATGGATAAGCCGAATACGATTGAGGAATTGGAAGCCAACATTACTCGGGTCATTCGTCAAATTCCACTCGAAATGCTCGAACGTGTCATCGAAAATTGGAACTTCAGAATGGACCATCTCAACCGCAGTCAAGGACATTTGAAAGAAATAATATTTAAAAAATAAATGTCAGAAATAGTTTTTTTGTATAATAATAAAGATTGCAAAACAGAATTTTGTTATTTTTATTTGTTGTTGAAAAAAGTACCTCTAAATGAATCACCCGTTATTTGTTCCAAATTTATATACATTTTTTATTTAGATTTATATGTTTATTGAATTATCGTACACTGTAAAGGAGAGAACGCATTAGGCGGTTGTGGTCCCGTCGCATCGCGGTCCATTCTGGGCCGAGCTGATCGCGGACTTTTACAAAATCATTCGCATTTGGCAATTGCACACAATCCTGCTTGCGCTCTCCTTTAAATAGTTGTAGTATTGTTTTAGTACTTAAGAAAATGAGTTCTATAGAAGGGAATGTCTAGTGCGAATGCATACATTATAAAACATGGGAAGGAACTCCACCGCACGCAATCAAGACTAGCATGGATCGCGATGCGGCAGGACCGCGACCGCCTAATGCGTTCTCCCTTTAAGTGTCGTTAGACCCTGTGAAATCCATCTAGTTATTTAAACTTGCCCTCATTTAAGTTAGTTCGTATCTCTTACCATTTCCGAGATCCCTGTAGTGAGAAGCGAATTTGTAACAAACAGCCTGTATAGAATTCTTAAATTATGATTAAAAAAAATAGTTAGATGGGGATTGTTATGTTACAAAATTAATGACGCTCACATACCATCTATATGTGTGGATTTTCGAAATATATTGGAAAAAAAAACTAACTTTTTTATTTATACAAATTTTCTAAATTTTTCACAAAGAATGGACTCAGATTTATCTTTTTAATGTCGCNAGATGGGGATTGTTATGTTACAAAATTAATGACGCTCACATACCATCTATATGTTTGGATTTTCGAAATATATTGGAAAAAAAACTAACTTTTTTATTTATACAAATTTTCTAAATTTTTTCACAAAGAATGGACTCAGATTTATCTTTTTAATGTCCCAGTTTTGAGTTTTCTTTTTTTGTAACTTTATTTTTTCCTATTTTTAAAACTTTCGAGTGATGTCATACCAGCAAACAAAATTCTAAGGAAACTACATTTTTTACCAATTTTGATGAATTCTAGTGGCTTTGGTCAAAAATAATGATAAATTATTTTATCGTAGACCCAAGAATCTGTGGTAGGTATACACAGTATATTGGGATACCCTGTACATCATGTGGATTATTTTGGTGATGCCTGGGATTTCTAAAAAAAAAAGTTTTAGAACATTCTGTTACTATCTTAATAATAATCTCATTCATTTTGAGTTTTCGAGATATTGAAAAAAAAACAGAAAGTATTACAAGATTTTTTAAATCTGTAAAAACATTTTTACAAATTTTACCATAGACTTTTTTGTTTTACCGTTGCGGTTCTGAGAAACTTGTCCCTTCTTTTGTAATTTTCTTTTTTTCTATTACCACATTGAATTGACCAAAAAGGGCATTTCTTAAACTTTTTAGTGATGTATCATCAATGTTGACACAGGACGCAAAAAATCCAACATTGCGCCTGGTGATTTCCTGCTAGGGGCCTTTCTGAACAGCGGGCTGCGGCGCACTCGACATTCAGTCCTCAGTCCGACCGCTGTTCATTAAATAACCGCCGAGTTTTGCCTCGGTAGCTCACTCTCAGTCGAGACTTGACACGAGAAGCATCTCTGAGTTGGTCTTCACACTTGTATATAGTGTTTGAATTGAATAACCTCTCATTGTTCGCTCCTTTAGTGACGAGCAGTCGCTACCAATTTTTAAATAGTGGTAGTACTGAGTATCAGCGACCCTTCGGGGTATATTAAAGCTGTTCCCCTCAGCTTGTGGCACGGCTTGGTCTGCCATTCCACAAAATAGGGAAAAAATAATTCGTTAACAAGTTCCCCTTTACTTATTAATTAAGGGGAACCCTACACCTATCGTTCCACAACGTGAGCCGAACCCGACATCCGCAAAAGCAACCGCGGCAGTGCAGAAACGCTTCATGCACGCATCCAGCGTGTCCTGGGGATTCTTAGGGATACCCCCAACCACGTCACCATCTCCAAACGGGTCCGAATCACCGCGTTCGTGGGCAATGTAAAGAAATTCAATACGATGAAAAAAAATTTAAAAAAAAATATGTAAGAAAATGATGATGGTTTCCCAGACTCTCACAAATTGAAACAAGTGAGTTTAATGATGTTTTCACAGATATAAAAAATTAATAAAACTAGTTTTTTTTTTTTTTTCAAAATATCTCGATAGCCTAAATATGTAGTGCTGATAAGCTACCTCTATTATATCATCAAGTGGATAAAAAAAACGCATTATTTGAAAAATACTATTTTTGTTTCCAATTTTAATGTCCTCTAGCGGCTAAACTAACCAACTTTGCCCAAAAATAAATTTTGTTAATAATTTTTATTGCAGCCCCAAGAATCTGTATAAGTACATGTATGAAGAATCTTGAGACACCCGGCACACCGGGTGAACTATTTTGATGATGCACGTATAGGGATGTCTAAAAAAAATTGTTATATAAATTTTAGACCTTTCTGTTACTAACTTAACGATGCTTGAGTTATATTTTGTAGAAAATCAACTTTTACATTTTTTTAAATGTGAAACATTGCAGCAACTTTTTACAAAAAATTTCACCGAAAACTCAGATTTTTGTACTAATGTTGCAATTCTGAGAAACTATCATTGTTTCCTTCATAACTTTTATTTTTCTTTCAACGAAAAAAGTAAAAAAAAAAATTATAAGAAAGTAAATGCTGAGGGTTTTCAGAAGCTGCAACTTTGAAAGTGTAAATCCATTGAAATTTTCTATAACAAATTCTAATATTTTTACAAAATATTTCAAACACAGCTAGAGGTGATATACAAGCAAAATTTACCGATTTTACATCTACAAAGTTCACACGGCATTTATAAATAGAATTTGATGAATTTTTCTTATATTCCGCAAAACAACTCAGCAAAGGAGCACATTTTCCACACACCTTCCAGTAAAACATTCGAACCACACTCAAGAGGATCCTCAAAACAGAACTTAAACCTATTAGACCAGTTAATATCGCTTAAATCGAAAAGACAAGCAGTGTTAGCGAATTATGCATTCCAAATCTCATATAGAACTCCTCAATATCCTCCACTAAATTGTAATGCATATCAAACCTGGGTTCATCGCGTAATAGAAGTCCCTCCACTCGTCCATCCACACCTCCGCCACCCTGGCCGCGTTGTGCAGCACGATCTTGGACACGCCGCCCGGGAACGTGTACGGGGACTTGTCTCTGAAAACGTGCCCGACGTGCGAGCACGGGATTATTTCCAATTTACCGCCGCACTGCCACACCTAAACATTTGTTAGAAAAGGGGTCAGTAAAGATAAATATGGGGGATGTACTTGGTGGCCTGCAAATGTGTCGAGATTTCTGTTAAGACACAGGGTGGTTAATGTTTAAACGGCGACATAATGGATAATGTGAGGATAAAAATTATTTTGATACAGTTTCGATTGATGTCTCCGTAGTAACACTTTACAATTATTGTTATATGTCTTGTAAACAGGGTGTAACTTTAAGAGACGGTCAGTTTTTAACCTCTTATGACACCCTGTATACGTTTATAACGTATACAGGGTGTCCCACCACAAATTCCATCGATGGATACCTGGGAAACCGTTCGAAGGATTTTTTTGAAACCAATAGAGCGAAAAAAGAGGCTGTTTTTACACTTAAATATTACAGCAAATTTCATGTATTTCCTTTTGAAAAATACTTACTGAATGAAAACCTAAGTGATTTCCCCAGCAAACCCATAAACAATTTTTTTAAAACAACAAAAACTGCAAAAAAAGAACATTTTCTTGTTTTTTTTTTATAATATCTAGAAAAATAATGATGGAATCGTCTTACTCTCAATAGGGCTTTTGTAGAGAATAAAAAAAACCTATAAAATGGTTCTTTTGTGCGACCTCATCAATTTCTTTTTTACAGAGAAAATCCGGAAAAACCTCTAAAATAGACCTTTTTCAAAAATTCATAACTCCGTCGAATTTGAAGCTGGAAAAACAATCTTGCGGAAAATGACAGATAATCTACCCAACTCTGGCTTGAGCATACTTTCGATTATTTCGGGTGACTTTCTAGGGTATTTTTAGCATATTTCTCATCACCCAGGTGAAAATCCGAAATATGTATACAAATTGGAGATTTTGTCGTCTACTTTCAGATGCTGTTTTCAGAATTTAAATCGGACCATTTTTGATAAATCGACACGCTGTGCAAAAAAAGAGCCTAATTTGTTTGTGCAATTGTGCAAAAACTATGCAGCGGACAGAAACCATCTTGCGCACGATTAAAATACATATTATTATATGTCATTTTCCACAAGATTGTTTTCCAGCTTCAAATTTGACGAAGTTATGAATTTTTGAAAAAAGGTCTATTTTAGAGGTTATTCCGGATTTTCTCTGTAAAAAATGAACCGATCGGATCGCCCAAAAAAAAACATTTTATAGGTTTTTTTATTCTCTATAAAAGTCCTATTGAGAGGAAGATGATTCCATCATGTTTCGAGATATTATAAAAAAAATTATATATTTTTTTTCATTTATTGTTTAAAAAAAATTGTTCACGACATTGCTGGGGAAATCACTTGGATTTTCATTTCCTAAGTATTTTTCAAAAGGTAATACATGAAATTTGCTGTAATATTTAAGTGTGGCAAAAAATCTCTATTAGCTGGGCCTATAGGTATACATTAGTAACTAATTTATGTTTCAAAATTACTATTTTTGGTGTTTATAAAATGTACATGGAAAAAATTTAATAAAAAAATATGATTTGAAATATTTTCAAAATCGCGTCAAATTTTGAACAAAAAGTGTTTGTTACTATTTTTTAAGTCACTGCGTTTAGATTGTGAATCTCAGAGTCAATGACCTCAGAGATCACCCTAGTTTTGGTGAACTACATTAATACACCTGATATGATATGACAACAGCGCGCTAGACGCGCAAAAAATAAACAACCGTTAATTCATAGAAATGCAAATGGCCGAATATGTCACCATTTACTTCAATTCTTCAGATCATTAATTTATGAGATTTGTAATGCAGTAGGTATTTTGCGAGTGCGTGTAAGTGTTTACTGGAATCGAAATAGGATTTATATAGTTATGTTATTTGTTTCAGTGTTTAGTGAAGGTACAGTGTTTGTGTGCCATCATTTTTAAATTTCTGTATGATATTATGGAAAAAACATGTATACAAATCAAGAAAGATGAAATTTCATAATGCACGCTATTGTTTCCAATTGGGTATGCGCTCTTATACAACGCGTGTTTATTTGAAACAGTCGAATGGTGAGGTATGAAAAATTACAAAAAAGGACGTTTTCACGATGGAATGAGTTTGGGAAAGCATGAATTTATGTGTTTTTAAAGGTCAAAGGTAGTCTTCGTATAAACGTGACCTCTATTCAAAGTTACACCCTGTGTGAAAGTGGCCAAACGTTGAGTATTTTGAGGATTTTTAGCAACATAAAAAACATTGATTTCTAAGAGCTAAACTTTCTTCTAAAACATTTTTTTATACTGTCTGTTAAACTTATTTTAGGTATATTCAAGCAAAGTTCTGAATTATTACGAAATTTTTTTGGTGCAAAAATTTTTTAATACTATTATAGTCATTAACTTTGATGGAAAATTTTTAAGAAAAAATTTAAAAAAATGTTCTTAAAATTGCAAATATAAAATAATGTTTATCCTCTCTTAAGCAAACAAAAGTGACTGCCTCATTACCCTAAAACTCATTTCCAAGTTTTCACCGCCCCAGATATCCATTCCTTCATCGTAGGCCCCGAGTTCGTAAAAATAGTCCTTGTCAATGGAGAAAAGTCCTCCAGCCATTGTTGGTGTCCTTAGAGGAGCTGTTCTGTCGCCGTTCCTTCTGTCCATTTCTCTCTGAGGCACTCGATACCTGACGACATATAAGAAGGGAAATAGTGTTACAAAATGGTATTAATGTACCATCGACACCTTATCATTTAACTCACCATCTAAAGTTCAGCTTCCAGTTGAAGCCGCCCCACGTCATATCAGAAGCGGTGATATATTCAAACGTTTCGTCTGATATCACGTCGATGATGGGACACACCACGGTTTTTCTGTCTTCTACTATCCTAGCTAATAACGGTTCCAACCATCCTTCGGTGCACTCGCAATGCGCGTCGAGGAAGGTTATCACTTGTCCAGTAACGTGTTTGGCACCCAAAAGTCGGGCTCTGATTAGGCCTGAACGTTTCACCGTCCTGAAAACGTACACAGGTACTGGTAGTGTCTTTACGTAGATTTCTAACGCCTTGCCGAGGTGCTCTGAAAATAAAATAGAACAAATTATGAATTCAGAAATTTATAATATTAAATTATTATACATAATTAACAAAGAATAAATTTACAAAGTTTATTTTTACTAGAAAAATAAGATTATTATCTACATGTAGAAACATGTTTTTTTATCTAACAAATATAATAAAACAGATACCACAAGAGTCAAGGTAAGCAATGGTAAATATTTATATTAATTTTTAGTAGAGAAAACCACAGATTTCATATCTAAACTAGATTTTTTTGCGAAGTAAATTTATTTCTTTTATGACTTTTCCAATCTATGTATAAATTCAGTTCCACTGAAAAGCGTTTTTAAATAATGCAGATAGGAATTATATTCATTCTATTTGATAAGAAGCGAAATACTAATTTTTATATTAATCAGAACTGGATTTGCTCTTTACCAATTTTAATTGTTACAGCGCATTGCACTATGAGGGTGTTCTTTTAGTACACCAATGTACTATTTCGATTCTTATTTTAGAATATCACAGATTACCTCACAATTCGGAGAGTACATTTCAAGTATGGTTTTTCCTGTCAGTTGAACATGTATAAAAACGTCTAGTAATAAAATTTAATGAGTTTCATAGGCGTCCCCAAAAAAGTTTTCTACTAAAGGTAAAAAATTATAATAATCTGTATATAATGTGTAGAAAATTTCTATTATTGACCAACAACATAATAATATTTTAATTATTTCTATCCTCAAACAATTTTATTATATTGATGGTAAATTTCGTTTTGTTCCGTTTCAAAAGGTCTCTAAAATGCCGTGTTCTCAGCCACGAAAATTGAATAATTTCAAATATTTCGAATTTTCACCACCAAGAACGGCGGTGACATCATTTTTAACATTAAGGCGATGTTTCGCATTGTATTAGCTATGTCCTGCCCAAATTTTGTTCGTGCAACTCTCTTGGTTTTGACAATGCCTGTGTATGTTTTCAGCCACACAAATTGAATAATTTCAAATAATATTAGTAAACAAAATATCCCTCTTATTTCCCCCTTTTGCAATTATTGTAATATGAATGATTAATAGAAGGTGCCTATAATAAATTAAAATTACCTGAATCACACCAAATTCAGCATTGCTGCACTGCACTGCTAGGCAATTTGTCAACCACTTGTCAACAACTGAGATTTATTGCCCAGTCGGCCAGTGCAGATGTGTTATACGCCGTTTGCCCGCCCGCGCATTCTTCAACTGGGCGTATACATTTCTACCATTAGATCCCTGAGTTTGGAAACCGATATTAAGAAAACGTACGGGCAAAAAAAATTGAAATTTGAACCATTTATAGCCTCACTATTACTCTATTGTGTGCTAAAATTTCAGTTAGTTTCGCTATCCCATTTTTTAGTTATTAATGAAAATGTCGAAAAAAATCACGGTTTTCTGCCTACAAAATTGATATAGAGTCACTGTAGGGAAAATGAACTAAATATTACTATCTACTAACTAATTATTATTGGGATATATGAGGATCGTCTTTACTTGAATAATTAATTAGACCTTTTGGTTTTCATTATTTATTAAATGTAATTTATTATGTATATATTTTCAACGTGAGTTATTCAAATTCAAAACAAATAAATACTGTGACATTAGGTTTCCACTGATGACATATGTTTGGTAATATTTGAGTAGCCAACTGTTCCCTTATCTAGTAATTTATGGTTTGATGCACACTCAAGTTAGTCACTCATTTATACACATTTCTGAATATCGGAATTGAGAATGAGATGAGGGCACCCTAAGTTGAGTGAAGCATAAGTTTGATATGAGTGAAAAGTTAGTACAGATTTAGCGAAGTCTCTGAATTTGGCCCTAAATATTATATGCTAACTTTTGTTATCACTATACTTTTTCCTGATGAATTTCAAAGAGCAACAACTGTATTTCAAATTATACTCCGCGGTCGAAATTATAGAGAGTGACTCATCGCTAGCTTTTGGACTATAAGGGGGATGAAGCATGCCGGGAACGAAAATCCATTGGCGTGTCTGCGTAAAAGGCAACAAGATATAGAAAATATTGAAAAAAGATAATAAAACATAACATCTAATATTTTNTTGAAAAACGAATAGTGGTCCATATCTTCGCAACCGTTACTTTGCGGACCCATGTTTATTAAGAATTTTCTGCTTATTTTGGTTCATACTATTACCTTCTGAAATATTTTACACTCTTTTTTTAACACCCTGTATACCCTGCATCGGACCGTGAACGAAATTGACCATTTCGATAGTGTTTTTAAGAATATCATATTTATAACTGTATTATTTTAACAATTTTTTTCAGATTGTTGTTTACAGTTATTTACTACCTATGTCAGTTTTTTCCATTTTTTAAAGAACGCAATATTTGCAGAGATAGCACTCCCCTCTGTTTTGCTTAAAAATAAAAAAAGAAGAGCTTTTCAGACAAATGACCTTCACAGTACTAAAGACAATAGTTCGATTTATCGTCAGTAAAAATTTGAAATTTTTTTTTATAAATTAACAAAAAAAATTACGACGTTAAAGTGAGAGGTATCAATTTTATAGGCATTAATAACTAAAAAATGGGATAACGAAACTAACTAAAATTTTAGCACACAATAGAGTAATATAGGGCTATAATATGAGGCTATATATGGTCCAAATTTCAAATTTTTTTGCCCCTACGTTTTCTTAATATCGGTTTACAAACTCAGGGGTCTATTTCATTTATTTCGATAGTAGTTCGACCAGACCTGTATATGGGTATGGCTAAATAAATATGGGAACAAAGTTTTCCAAATATTTCAATGCCGAGTTGCTGCGTCAGCGACTGAACCTGGTACATACTGTCAACCTCTTGGTTCTTCAAATGAGATCGGAAAGACTTTACTTGTAAGGTGACAAGATATTTATTTTTAAAACTCACAATTTTAAATTTAACACCCTGTAAAGGAAATATTCGAATGATTTTTTTTCCACCAATACTCTCCTTTCATATCCGCACCCATCTCCACTTTGAAGAGGAACCAAATGAATCTAATTTAGCGCCGTCTGGCGGATGAACAAAGGTTCTAGTCTAGCTTGTTAGATTATACTTTTTTTTTTGTTTTATTCTACTACAAATAACTCACATAGGTTTGTCCTGTCTACATTAAATATTATATGCTAACTTTTGATATCACTACACTTTTTCCTGATGAATTTCAAAGAGCAACAACTGTATTTAAAATTAGTCAACAAGCATATGTTTTTCTAAATGTGTAATCATGAAGTGGAAATACTAGAAATCTCTTAGAGGTTGTCAGTTAATAATAATTAAAATTTGACGTGCAAAATAAATGTTTTAAACGAGTGTTTGATTCCACACTAATTCGTGACGTCATTTAGTGCGATCGATAATCGAGAAGATTGATCTAACACTATGTTTCACACCATTACATCCAATTTTTGAACGATTAGAAAGCCCTCGTGGCTAAAATTGTTATTTTTTTGCCGTTGCTACACTCTACGTCTACGTCTACATAGCACGATGTTCTGCATCCCACAGGTTCTTACCATACATAGGATTTTCTGGCGGGTCACGATGGTAATCGGATAATAGCAATTTATTTATCGTTTAGTGCCAATTAACTCAGTTACATAACGCTCGGGCAGTGCAAAACGTAATATTTAATCAACGCAACTGTTATTAACTGCCGGAATTATTGCTATAACTTTTTTAATGAGAGCTGCCGAGCTCTGAATTGCCTCAGTTGAACCGTTCTTGTGAACGAATGGGCGGGAAAATAAACATCTACATTAGAGTCACGTAGCGCGACAGAGGCAAAGAAATACGTAATTTGTTTAGGCAGCTAAAATGAATTACAAACAAGAAAGTTCTGAGGAGGAACATAAGCAGCGTGGCGGCAGGCAAAAACGGGAAACGTCTCGTAGTTTCGACGCGAGAGTTAACGCTGACAAAAAAGTCCGATATTTCATGGTAATACTACTAATAAGACTACTAAGTTCGTTAGGTAATGTTAATTTGCCACGCAACTCACGCTAACATTATTACCAATTAAATAAATTCTTTAGTCATGAAAAATTTGTTTAACAAAATATGTAGATAGGAGAGGGAGGATAATTTAGACACTGCTCAATTTATCAACAAAGCTTTTCAGATGTCTATAAAAGCTGTATTCTAGTGTATAGTATTTAGTATTAGGTGGATATTCTTTTTCCAGTGTATAAACATCAACAAAAACAGAAAACTCAGAAGATAAAATATTATTAGAAGTTGTGATATAATAATTTCTGAGATTATATTCGTTTATATACAGGGTGTTATCACTAAAAATCATTTTTAAATTTTAGTTTTGACACCCTGTATTTTGAAAATGGGGCTCTTAAATGAAAAGTGGCATAAGAAAAGCCTCATTATTTTAGTCCAAAGAATATGTGGTTAACTGCTTGACCTACTAATTTGTAACACCCTGTATAATAAAATACAAATAGGCATGTCCTTATACATATATATTTTTTTTAATTTTCAACCACATTAAAAAAAGCAAATATTTTGCGTATACATATGAAAACCGCGGTATATTACTTAAAAGAAGTGAACTGTTGTATAAATGTTTTGTCAGTTATGTGCCAGGCATTATTATTTATTTTTTTAATCTAAATTTAAACGGTTGTTTAATAAGTTGTGTTAACATTATATAAAGTTCAATGATCGTGTATATACGCTCGCCAATATTCTGTAATTTAGCCAACAACCATGAACTGCCAACCAATAAATAAGTTAATACAAACTGAGCATAGAAGCAAGCTTTTAAAGATACACATACGTAAGTATCATACAAACGAGATTCATATTTTTAGAATTAAAATGTATAAAATACTGCAAACTTCCTACACTTTGTTCAATAACAGAAAAGTATTTTTTTTTTCATACTTGGCCGATCTACAACATTCTATTTATTGCTATGGAATTTCTCTCATTTTAAAATAGTCGC